AAACTTATAAGTAGCTACTTTATAAAGTAATTTATTTAAATTAGGTATATAAAGGTAAAATAAAGTAATTATAAGGAAAATAATAAGCTTTATAAAAGTTAAGACTTTATTAATTTATATTATATTAAATTACTTTAAGTTTTTTAGGGTATAACTTATATAGTTATAAGTTACTATTATTATTATATATATCTTTAACACGTAAAATTATAAGCTTTTACTGGCATATAAAATTATAAATCACCTTTTAAGCTAGTAGATTTAATGTATTGCGATACGTATATATAGTGTTTTTTTAATTATATATTACTGTTTAATTAGCTAGGTATAGCTATTAATTGTGTTACTAATAGGTCCTGGTAATTAACTAGCCTTTTTTTTATTTTTTTATTATAATATAATTTAATATATATAAGGTAATTACCTTTTTTTTTTTTAAAGTAACTTAGAACCTTTAATATCTTATAAGATTATTATTAAATTAAGCCTCTTTTTACTCCAAGCCTTCATATTGAACCCTTGTCACAAAGCCCCTACCGGCGGTTATGTCCGCTACTACCGAGGCATTGATATAACTGGCGTTACCACTGAGCTACACTTTTACTTCAAGGACGGCTTCAAATCAGCCTGTGACTGTGCCGCGAAATGCTTAGAACTATCAAGCATTTGTGATAATTGGGTTTGGAAACACACCTTCATGGAGGGCGATGGCGGCAAGAGGTCGTGCACGCTCTATAGCAGTCCCAACTTGCCGTCTAACGTGACGCTTGCGTATGATGTGGCCAATAGCATTGGCATCGAGCCGCTGCTGCCTGGGAATAATCCCCAAGCAGGGGCCCCTTCGCCGTTTACATTCCTGGACGTGAATAATACGAAGCGGGATCCATTTGGGGTGTCTGGATTTACGGCCATCGATCAGGATGGTGGGCTTTATTGTTAAGACTTAAAGCGGATTTGCCAATGGACAAAACTGAATCTAGCTTAATAAACTTCCTTTTTTAAAAGTCTATGTGTTAGCCTCTGTCTCGAATTGTGCCGCGCCTGGCACACGGTGTCAATCCTTACGGGGGTATAACAGATATTTTTGCTAGCAACAACTCCGACCTGGCTTATCTACCGGCAGACAATTCAAGCCCTTATACACCTAAACAGGTTGTGTCAGACTGAAACGATAATCCTCAAAGAGAGCTGCAGGAAATTACAGCGACATGAGACTCTCTGTAAGTGAACCCGCCTCGGCATTGACTTACAAGCGAGACATGTCAACATTTGACCAACAAGGAACCTATTTTACATTCCAAATTTCTGAAGACCTAAACAGCCACGGAACTGAGCGAGGAAGCACCAGAAGCTCTCGGGCTCAATAGGTCGATAATGGAATCCTCTAAGAGAGCGCCAGTATTTCGGGGGAAGCGCACTATATAGGCATCTGATAAAGGCACTGAATCAAATAAGTAGCACGCTTAGATGCTAGAATTAAAAGTCAAGTGGACATGTGATATCAGGAACATAATTTAGTATTAACATTAAGACCTTTCACCCTTCAGCCAACTACATATAACACATCCTCAGCCCCTAGGGCCCCTATTACTATCAATTCATACTTGACGTAATAGGGTATTTCTTGCGCAGTAAACGAGGATGTTCCTGCAACTTATAAGACCAGGGTTGTGAGAGCAGAGATCTATTAAAGCAGCATCACGCTAACACACAGTATAGCTTCAATCATGCGCAATGAATAGCAAAACGAGACGCAAAAGATAAAAAACCGAACTTTCCTGTTTAACGAGGTAAATCAACTATCGTCAACATTTTACGTTACCACACGTATCTGGACACATTGGCATAGTAAGCTACCATTCTAGAGCCATTTCTCTGAGATAATGCCAAAAAAAAAGAAGAAAACACAATTAACCGGTCTTGCGTCAAGATTGAACAATTTCCCATCCGCATCCAGTGACATCATCTTCCTCGCTCCATAGTCATTATCCCACACAGCAGTCCAAGAGATACAGCCCACAAACATGACCTCACCCGCATCCGGGTGATGCGAAATCATTCTCTATACCGCGATACGCCACAGCGGTTATTAGTCCCAAGTTGAAGCCGGAGAATTCCAACATGTACTAGTGTAGGGTCATCGAGAGAAGATCGCTTTGCATCAGGTCCAGAGTCAGCAATGGCTAGACATGGCTCGGTGCATTTTTCCACACTTACAGGCCTTTCCCCCCCCTTTTCGTACAAAGAACAAGGTTTTCTCGGACTCTCTAGCATTAGATTTAGATCGAGACCTCCTTGTGCCGTGCGAGTAGTGCCTTTGGTCTTTGCGTGCTGTACTGCCTCCGATACCCGTCTGGTTCTGCTTGTTGTCTCCATTGGCGGGCAAATCTGTGCGAGTGCTTACCGAAGTTGCAAGAAGGGAGTTGCTTGTTGCCGTAGTAGAATCAAAGACGGAACCATGCGGCGTAGAATCGCTATCGTACTTTGATTGCTCGTCCAGCGCTTCAACAGGAGTTCTTGGGCAAGATACTGCCTCTGTTTGCGCAGGGAGCTGTTCATGGCCCAAGTTATCTCGCAATTCTCTGCGCCGGCTTATTTGGTATTCGCAGTCTTGGCGAAGTTCCTCGGAGGCTTTGATAACGGTTTCGTTTAGCTCCTCGATTTCGCGCCTCAAGTCGTGCTCTCGGGCCTGGCTTGCTTCCAGGTCCTTTTTGAGCTCGATTTCCCTGTGCTCGGCGGTTTCGATTCGTTTTTTTAATCGCGTCAGTTTCTTGTCCATCTCCATCTCCATCTCTGCCATGACTTCTTGCGCCTTCTGCGCAACTTCGAGCTTGGCAAATTGTACAGCGTCGAGTTCTCTCTGTAGCCTTTCGATCTCACCCGCACATTTCTTGTGCTGGGCGGAAATTCGAGCGACGTCTTCTTTGGCAATGGCAAGTTGCGACTCGAGCTCTCGCTCCCGTCGACGATTCGACGTCCTCGACGGTCTGTCTTTGCAAATCTCAGTGGCATCGTCGTTCTCCCACGCGGGTGCTGCTTGTGCTTTGCCCTTTCCCGGGGCAGGCCTGGCCGGTATGGCAGGGGCTGCTCTAGAGCTCTCGGCTTCGGACTGCAGCTTGACCGCATGGAGCTTACCTTCATATACTTCCGTCTCGATATTGGGTGCTCGACGGTTTTTCTGTCGCCCAGACCGACAATGTTGAGTGGCGTTCTCAAAAGAGTATACGATGTCCCTCACATTCTCTCCTGTAGGAGTGGCGGTCTGAGGACAGGTAGGATCGATGCCCCTCATAATGTCAAGAGTAAAATGGCATGTGGCTTTGACAAATGGCTGCCGAGTTGGAGTATACCAAGTTGTTGCGCCATGCGTTGACACGCCGACCTCTTGCTTTCAGACGGCTACTTATTGTTATATATGACTGTCCAGTTTGTAAAACCTGACTTCCCCGCCTGGATCGGAAAGCCTGGACTCTATGTACGGACATGCAGGACAAGGATCTCGTGCGGATGAGGGTGTGGTGATGGTGGCCTGGCGATCAATCCGCGTCGGCAGTAATCTTTGGCCGGCAGGATGGTCGTTCAGCTCAGGAGGCTGCCATACTACGGAGTACTCTGTACACTTTTCTTGAGCTTGTACCTTTGGAAAGTTTGCCAATGCTTTTGTGACAATTGCCCACGGTGGACAGAAAATGTCTCACAAGATTGTTGTCAGGCCGCCATGCATGGACTTTCACACGCGCGAGTGGACAAGACAGCCTCACTGTTGCCTTGCAGGGAACAAGACGGGGAGAGCGACGAAACGAGATGTCATGAATTTCAACCACGTCACCCAGGCTGTAGCCGCCTTGGCGGCCAACGTTTTGCATACACTAGCCAGCCCTTTGCAGATGTAGCCGGTCTTTTGAATGAGCCGACTCGAATCAGGCTTCACGGCGGTTGGGTGCGAGCAGCTTCTGTGGCATCTACTGGCACTTGCTATGTCGCATATCAACCTGACAAGACCTATCTAGATGCCCGCGGGGGATTTGAATTGGGTGCCGACATGACACGCCTGAGAAATCTAACGCTCACAACCAACCAAGTAACAAATAAACCCCTTACATATGTAGGGTAGGCTATGCCTCTACTCCTCTTCCGTCAAGGTTCGCGGTACCGAATACAAGAATTCACACCTTAGAGGTTTGCCTATTCTTATGGTACCCGGGGCCCGTTTGCTTGTTGGATCATATCGTGAAAATGGTCGACAGATGTGTGCTCAAGTGGAATGGCGATGGTAGGAGCCTGGGATCGTCGACAAAAGGGTATTCCCTATAGAGGGCTAGGTGCAAATGCAAGGATGGGAAAATCATGCTCTATTCTGATAATCTCGTAAGGTCTAACTAAGAATAAGGCTGGAGGAAGAAGAACCATTGTGTGGATGGGTTTTCATGCATGCGAGGCTGCTTGCTTTCCCGTGACCACGTGACCCTCATCACTCCCCTCCCCAGACGGCATCAACATGGGGTCTGGATTTCTTCCCTCTGCACCACTTCCACACTCGAAAATCGCAAGCAAGTCATAATATGACAAAAACCGAGGCTCCTGTCCGCCCCGTGGCGCTCAGTCCCTACGGTCGCCTACAGCAAAGAATGGCCCAAGATCGCACGCGTGCTCTTTTTGGCGACTCACCGCCCCCCAAATGACAGGCCGCCCCGTACCCCGAAGGTGACATCATCTACAACTGCAATAACCGCTTTGTAGTACGACACGGTGACACCATCACAAAATATACCACATTCCCTCATGGTTTCGGCACGCATGACCATCCCAACGAGAGTCTAGCGCTACGCTTCATCAAAGAACACACTATAATCCCCGTCCCAGAGGTCATCAGCAGTGACTGGGACCGTATCACCATGGAATACATCGAGGGTCAGACGCTAAAGGAGGCCTGGCCAACCCTAACCCTCGACCAGCGCTCCGAGATCCTGGCTCAACTGCGTGACTACATTGCGCAGATGCGACGACTCGGCGGTATATACCTCGGCCGTGTGGACGGCCAGGGCGTCGTGGTCCCGAGCATCTTCATGCGTTCGGGCGGGCCATTCCGCACAATGTCCGAATTACACGACTGGCTTGTTCGGCCCCCGATACGGTTGGAGGCCGAGTCCATGTACTGGCACCAGATCACCACCCACCTCGGCGCCGAATATCCCATCGTGTTTACACATGGTGATATTGCTGCTCGAAACATTCTGGTATCTGGCGGCCGTATTGTTGCGCTTCTCGACTGGGAATTTGCAGGGTGGTATCGAGACTACTGGGAATATGTTTTTGCCTTGCGGGGGTTGGATAACATTGACTGGAAGACACTCGGCGAACACATTCCCTCTCTGTTTACCAAACGCTACGATTTGGAATACATCCTTGTCCAATTCCTCCTCAGGATTTCCTAAGAATCATATTCCAAACTGTCCTCTACAATTAGAGCCACGGCCCCCAAAAGCAAAGGCATATGTAGTGGGAAACTCTGCTTTGGTCGTAATCAGATACAATAGAGTGCTCGGGAATCTGCAGCCTCAACATGATTTACAGCTTTCTCTCCGCATGTAGCTAACAAGACGCCTAGGTGCTTACCACGGACTATCATTTGCCGCTGCCCAATATCGCCCATGGCCATTCCTATCCACCCATTCTCTGATATCTTGATAGATGGCGCGAGTATCCAAGTTGTCTCGAAATGGGTCATTTTCAGATCCATATATAATTCCATCGACGCCGGCATTCCCAAACAAAAAGTCGACCACGCTTCTTCTCTCCCCTCCGTGGAGCGTCCAGGCGAAGACGCGCCCAAAGTTTCCCGACTCCATGGCTTGGCGAAGAACCGTGCACGTATAAACGCCGTCTTCGTAGCAGTTTCCAAAGTCCCACGTTACCGACGAAGCCCCGTACGATAGTACCCGTCGTGCAGTTTCCGTCATATTGGCGTTACGAAAACGCTCCTGGAGGTCTTGTCCCTTGCCATCCAAGTTGAGAGCTTCGTTCTTGTTGATGTGGCGCGAGATAAAGTCGTACCCAACACCCCAGGCGGTATCGTCGGCAAAGCCGTACAGCACACGAACACCCGCCGGCTCCAATATTTGGCGTGCTTGTTCCTGCAGAGCGGCCACCGAGCAGTGTCGCCAGTCCTCGTCATGCGGATCGCACCAGTCCGGGTCTTTGATGTCCAGCCAGACGAAGGTGAGGTTGCTCCCGGCTTCCCGGGCCTTGGCAGCGGCTCGGAAGAGCGTTTCGACGGAGTCGCCTATATTTTCCCAGACGCCGTCATGATCCCCGAACCATCCTTCCTTCCAGGCCGTGACGTCAATCTCGAGCGCATTTGCGCCCTGACGTAGCGCCTCCGCGACTTGCTGTGTCGTCAACACGCGGTGGGCAACTGCGTAGACTGGGCGAGGACGCGCGGCGCCGTCGTTGGGCTGCGCGCCGGCCTGGTGGAAAAACTCGACGACGGTAAGGAGATGCAGGAGCGTAATGGTGCAGAAAAGTGTCAAGACGATGATGAGGATAAGCGAAGAATGCGACTTTAGCAGCCGCTCCATTGTACTTGGAGCTTTGGTCATGACGGCCAGAGCCAAAGTGCTCGCTGCATCTATTCCCGGCGGCCAAGGACGCTCCGGATTGTGAGATTGCCAAGATCTGAATCCGCTAGACGTGAAACCTGCTGCCCGACAACAATCTTACGGCTTCATCTTGCACATGTTGGAAATAAAGCAGTACTCCCAGGGTAGCAACTGGTAGAATTTTACAAGAGCATGGCTTGGGGACTCGGGTCCTTTTCCGGGCCAAAGCCTCGAACCAGACGTGATTCCCTGCGCGATGGTCATGCCGAGACCAAATGCTGGAACGTAGGTGGCTAAATCTGAAAGTTGGCGTCTGTGAAAACGGATTGGCGCCCGTCACGAGAAAGTGTGACGCCACAAAATATGCCACTCGACTCCTCGTCGGCCGATTGCGGACAGGTCAATCGTGGGAAACGCTGAAAGCAGCACTTGAGGGATACGAACCAAATCGGATGGGGTCGGCCATGTCCACACCAGAACCTTTTGCTGTGTTGCACCAGTGCATAAAATTATAAAACATCTGGTCGAGTATTATCAACGCATACGTAGCTGTGGTTACTTCCGGCCTTTTATCGTACTATTCTGAAGCGGCAGCAGCACCAAAAAACGCCTAGTATACTTATAAACATTATATGTATTATATTCTGAGGGGAGCACACCTTGAAAAAGTAGGTTTATATATAATATAGAAGCCCCAATTACTACTCCCAAGAAATGCTACCCATGCTATAAATATTGTTATTATATAGGATAAATAAAATTATTTTATGTAAACTTTTTACAAGAAAAGTATTTCTCCGCCACGAGAATACTTATATATATATTCGGGTAGTAAAGCGATAAAAATTCGTAATATAAAAATAGCTTTTAATTTATTTAGCTAGAATAATAATCTAAGAACTATACTATTATATTTAAAGACTTTAACCCCCAAAATACATCTCTTAACTAGGGCTGTAACTTAAAGTAGTATAAATATTATTATTAGTAAATATAGTTACTTATATATTATAATCCTAGAATATAGGAAATATAAAGAGTAATATATTTTTATATTTACTATTATTAAATAAATTAAGTTATATCACTCTAAGCTTTTAACTTTTCTTATATAATGTACTTTTATTAATTAAAAGTTTAACCCCGCTCTATATTTTACTATACTTCCGCAAAGCATATAAATAGAATATATCCGTCGAACCTGGCCCTTATTGCCTAGTTGCACTAGAGATCACTCCTCACATCGAGCTGCCTTTTCGGCCTACTTTAGTACGATCCCGCTGATGAAAGCTGAACAATGAATCAAAAAAGGCTGTTTCTCCTAATTGGAGGTCTCACGGTTTGTTTGGGAAACCTTGGCGCTCAGGATGCGTCGATCAACCGTCATGTTTCGTCCAACATGCAAACCAATAGGTTGGACACCCTCGATATGTGTTATGGAAATAAGCAAGACCCCGCTAGCCTATGGTCCAAGGAAGAATACACGGGCAAAAACGAGTTGCGTCATGCTAACCCGGGCAGGGTAGGACAAGATGTGCTAGATGGGCAGGTGCCGGAGGAGATGGCCATGACCATCCGCACTGAGGCAAAAACGGCACTGAAAAGCAGTCAAGACTCGGGAGGTTTTTACAGAGGCAAGCCAGAGATTATTTGGCCCGAGGTATGGAACGAAGGGCCTCAAAAGGCGGATAAGATAGTTCTCGAGTCGCCAGACCTACGACAATGGAATCTATCCATAACGCACGTTTACGCTTCTTGCCCAGGAACAGAGCCGGGCTCCGCAAGGATCCGATGCGTGTGGGACAATAAGGATAAAGACTTCTATGCATGGTCCGCGATCACCTTGGCTCTTGGTGCCACGTCAAGCTCAACGATTGTCCTGCCGCTCACCCTAACGTCTTATGTGAAAGACACGGGCTCTGTAAGTCTGAGACAATCAGACAGCAAAACCGTTACCCATAAATGGAGTGGTCGTGTCCCTCCAGTCTATAAACAGACGGACACATCGCTTTTTCCACAACCGCGGGCCATGACGGTGCATGCCGCTCCAGAGGCGGAACAGGAGCGCGCACGACTGAGACAACGCATGAAATGGGCCGACTTCCAACCCACGGGTTTTTATCTAAATCCGGAAACGCCTCTTATAATCACGGCTTCCGGGATCGATACAAACCCGTTGAAACCAGTCATCTTGGTTGGTACACCAGCATTAGTGCACCCCGACCACCGAAACGAGCTGATGCCTGCCCAACTGGAAGCGTCCAAACCGTTGAAGAACGGTGTCAATACCATTTCTAGTCCCTCGGGCGGCATCATCTATATTCGCTATGTTGAGCGAGCCGGCCAGGGCCGACGTCCCATCACTGTTTCGCTCGGCAACACGGCCCAACCGTTCCCTCTATTCCGCCCAGGTGAAACAACCAACAACCAGTGGAAAGCCATGCTTCATGCCACCAAGGTACCATTCGCTGAACAGAGCGGTAACCATGTTATTATCACCGGGCTGGCGGCTGATGCGAAAATCTACGCAGACAAGGGGCAACAACAAGAGGCATTATTGTACATGTACAGAGACATTATTGGCGCTCAAGACAAGATTAGTAGCCTGAATACTGCAGAACAGAGCCCGCGGGACAAACCTAGTTTGCTGCGACCGATGGTGGTGCAAACTAAGGATGGAGTGAATCCAAATTCAGCGCACTATCGCGCCGCCATTCCTTCCAAATTGCATCAATGGGTCTGGTGGCACCCGTCGGTCCGCTGGTCGTGGATGATTTGGCATGAACTAGGACACCATCGCCAGCATACTGATACATGGAGCTGGAGAGCCGTAGGCCAGAGTACGGCCAACATATACAGTCTTGCTGTTGGGCGGTCGCTGAAATCCTCCGGTCGCTCCTTGACAGAATGGTACAAAGCCAAGCAATATTTGGCGCTGGCTCCCGACAAGAAGGTATTCGACAACGCGGACGTATTTACGCAGCTTATTATGTTCGAACAAGTCGGTGTCGCGTTTGGCGGAGACGGCTTCTATCATGAAATGCACAAGCGCTCCCGCGCCGGACCAACCCAAGCCACCAATGCTGATGCTAAGCATTACTTTATGACTCTGGCTGCGCAAATTGCCAAGACGAATCTTTCTGTCTATTTCACAAAATGGGGACTCAAGCCTGAGCCACGCACCCTGAAGGAAATGGGCAAACAACCCTCTCCTACCAAAGATTACACTACCGTGCCCGTGTATGGGGGGGAGTAAAAAGACCGGGCAATGACTCTTGTGTGGGAATAACTCTTGCTGCTTTTAATTTGCCGTAATTTTTCCTCTTCGTAACGGCACCTGGGGCTTTGGACTTTTGCCACTTGCACTATGTACGCTACAAGCCTCGAGGGAACTGGATGTATAACGTAATAATATAAGACCAGGCCGCTCGTTTATGAAGAGCTTATATCACTAAACTAACATTCTTTTAGAATTTAACTAGGCAAATAAACTTAAAAAACCTAAAAAATTAATTGATGCATTCTTTTTAACAGGAAATTACAGAGATTCTCTCTCTCCCCATGAGGCCCCGAGGATTTTCACCAGGGCCCCGAGCTCTGGGCCCAAGTTATTACACCACCCCATAAAAGCGTGGCTCACATGTCTACATTTACTGGAAGCTTAGGACAAGAGGTAACAGGTTCTATAATTCATAAAAGCGTGGCCTGGGGCATGCTTGAAAACAATTACTCTGGATAACACCCGCACAAGCAAGGCATGACAAATCAAGCTATAGATTCAGCATTAAGTAATGACGGAATTGACTACGTTAAGCCCAAATATAGTCAGAACAGAAATTCCCTGTGATATCTGCTCTTTATTCCTCGTGCTTCTACTTTACTTTTCCGGACCTTGCATACTCACGCCGCACCCCCACCGCAACGCGGAAAACGCCAGAAAATCCGCCATTCCAAGCAAATAAAGCTCAGTACATCCAAAGTTTTTTTGAAATAAGGCAGCCAGGATTATCGCGCTGGAGGTAGTTAAGCCGTATAGTAACTGGTTGTCGGCGTACTTTGAACCGGGGGAATTGCAGACTAAGATTTATACGAGATAATGAAATGGAAAGAAATGAATCTTTGTCTGTTTGCATGTGTAGTAGACGTATAAGACCGCACAGTACACGGCAACTTGAACTAGCGAACATTGAAAGAAGTAGTCTACTGCGCTTTACTAATAAAAAACAATGATATGAGAAGCATTTAAGAAAAAAGGAAAGGGTAAAAGTGACCCTGTCAGAAGCGCGTGAGAGACAGTGCGACTATTTTGCTCATCGCACAGTGTAGACAATACAGTTATAAGTTATAACATTGAAACTACCGTTGACGTGACATGCTTGTGCTTATGCCAATGTCTTTTTTCAAATACACAAAAACCAAACATAAAAAATTCCATTAGTTGCCACGACTCCTTGTGTCCTCCCCTCGACCCCTCAACCAGCCCCGTTCACTACGGCAACTGGAACTCACTCACAACCGCCGCATGGTCCGACGTCCACTCGTTATCTGCATGGTAGGGCTCCGGCTTGGGGTCTCCCACGACGACGACATCCGAGCGCGTCGTCTTCAACTTCTTGTGGTAAATAAAGTCGATGCGATCCATGGGCTCGGGCCTGTCGCCGTTGAGCCTGCGCACAGGCGACCACGTGTTGCCCGGAACCTTCCACGGGTCGCGGAACACGTCGCGAAACGAGTCCTGCCACTTGGCGTCGAGCACGACACGCCGCGAGACGGGCCAGGGAAAGGGGTCCCTCCCCTTGCAGTGCAGGTCGCGCGTCTTCATGGTGTAGTCGAGGTGCGAGGGCGAGGCAAAGTCGCCGGCCAGGATCTGCGGGAGCAGCTCGAACTCGGGCTTGCGCTCCTTGTACTCCTTGAGCCGGTGGACAATCTCGTAGACCTGCTGGACGCGGCGCGCCCACTCCTCGCGCCGCTGGATGTAGTTTGTGCTGAAGTTGGTGAAGCACAGGTCGTACGGGCCGTAGGGGGCGTTGTTGAGGTGCACGTTCCAGACGAGGAGCTGCTTGGCGTCGCCGTCGAGGTCGACGCGGACGATGCCCCCGGCCTCGATCTCGTGGTACACGCGGCCGATGGGGTACCGCGAGAGGATGGACACGTCCTTGGCCTGCCAGACGTTCCAGCCCAGGGCCTTGGCCAGCCGGCGCCCGTCTTGGAAGTAGCTCTCTTGCAGGGCGACCACGTCGACGTCCTGCGAGGCCAGGAACGAGACCTGCTTGGTGTGGTAGTCGACGACGTTGCGGCCGCCCAGCCAGAGGTTGAGCGTCAGGACCCGGATGTTCCGGACCAGAGGCCTTTTCAGGGGGGCCACCGGCACGGCTACCGGCAGCACGGCGGTGTCGTTGTCGGCGCTGGTGGCTCGGACCGAGAACCGGCTGAGCCCGGATTTTTTGGGCTTGCCCCGTATGACGCCCCGGGACGTGACGTACACCCAGTCTGCGTTGCTGGGGGGAATCACCGCGTACGACATGTTGCCGTTCTTGACGTTGGTGAGAAGCCCGCTGATGTCGGCACTGAAGGCGTCCCCCACGCGCGCGTTGTGGGTGGTGAAGGTCTCGGGTATGAATCGCATGGATCGGTTGCGGGAAATGTACACGTCGGCTGGGTCGGCCAGCTCCTTGTAGCCTTTCTGGGCTAGAAGATAGGCAAGATATCTGCCAGCTGGGAGGTCAGCAATGTCAACCTCGACGGTTCCATGCGTTCCGTCGGCCCAAGCCCACGCCAAATGATCCTGAACCCAACTGCCGTTGACGGGGGCGCCGTAGTAATCGTGCCAGATGCCGATCCAGTTCTTCGAATGAGGTTGACCAGTCGAGAACTCGAACGTGACACCAGTACCGTCAATCACGACCAAGCGTCCGGGTTTTGTCGTTTCGGGAGGGCGAGTAGGGAGGGGAGGGGGAACATTCGAGCTGGAGCTTGTTGTGTTTGCATCTTTGGCCGTGGCAAAGACGGCGTATGCCGCAATAGTGGTCGAGATGAGAGATGAGAGACGCATGGTAAAGCCGGCACTCGAGTGAGTCTTGCAAAAAATTCCTCCCGGCCACGAGGCCATGATGAAAACCACCCTCGCAGTGGTACGTGTCCATTTATACACCCGGGCGAAATTCTTGCACGAATTCTAGCAAAGTTTGCCCATGAAAAGGTACTTGTGTCTGCTTGGAGTCAAAAACATAGATATGAATCGGCATGTCGATTCAGACGTCGCGTGTGAGCTACGAGCTTGACTATGCCAGACATAGCTTGGGCCATTCTTGTAGTACAAGACACTTGAACTTTACCATGATGTAGTCTGTAGTTTCGGGCCTGTGTCCATGTACACATGTACATGTACTCTCCGAGGCCCTACTGTGTCAGTTCCTGATGGCCGAATTCTTCATAATAATAGTTTCGAATAGCGTGCGTGGCTTTACTGGCGCGCTTGAGGCGGCGCGCAAGGCACGAGCACTACACCGCAAGACGTCGACTGTCTCTCGAGTCCTCGACCGGCTCCGACTTGAGAGCACTTGAGGAGTCCTCACCCATGTCCGTCCTTGAGTGAGGCCTGCCTCAGCGGGCATCTCATGCAAGCGCGTGCATTTCATCCATGGTAGCATGAACAAGAGAACTGAAGATCTACAGGCCAGAATGACAGTCAATACACTCCTCCGTGGTTCATGTTGCTATGCTAGCAATGCTGAATCTTTTAATTGCGTGTTTAGGCAACACACTTTTTGACCATGACACGCGGCGTCGTGTCCATCATTACCTCTTTGTCCCACAATGCCCGGTTATCACTAGCAGAAAACCTTCCAGAGTACAAGATGATTTAAAGTTTGACCAAATACGGACCTTATTTTTAACCTTTTTTTTCTTCGCAATGCTGACTCATAGGCCATCTTGGCACGTACTGTGCATCACGCGGCTAAACTAGAGCCTGCAGACCAATATCGCCAAAAGGGCATATGCAGAGAATCGGGCAGCGAAAAGATGATTGCATCAATTGTATCTTGCGGCAGTCAAGGATTTTGTTGGAGGTAGAGAATGGCACTTGGATGCGTCGATCCGGGCTGCAAGGAGTCCGCACGTCCAGACACGCAGACAACGACAAGCCACGGTGGTTTTTCTACTCTGTGCACAACACCCGCAGGAATGATGTCATGGCACGGTTCTTCATTGCCCTTCCATGGCTGCTTCGCAGAGCACCAGAGACGCCACTGGACTGGCGTCCCGGCCGAGTACGCCAATGCTCAACCGAGTCAAGACGGCCTCTTTTCACCACCGGCCGAAACAAAACTAAACTGGATAAGAGATGAATACAATAAACCCAACCCATACGCAAACACTGGGATTACACGCGACGGGAACGAGAGTACTCACGTCTCGCCTCCTTGGGCCACGGGATATTCACATCCCGCAGGCTCGGTCTGCCGGACGCAACCGGGGTAAGGGAGCATCTGACAAAACACTGGGCCAGGGTTGGCTCCCGACGTCGTATGATGTGCGTGTCACTCCATCCCCGGCATCGTCCGCGAAGCCCAGCAGCAGGGATGACCCAGCATAAAACCTCAGCCCTGTCTGTCTATTGCTCCTCCACCCACGTTATGCGCCAACACGCGACGTCTTCTCCCACAGCCAGGACAGCAAGAAGCCTTGTGAGCCAAAGACCAAAAAGTAGACAAATCCGACATTGACAAGTCACAAAGATGCCGTGGTTGGGGCTCGTGCTAGCCGTGTTTCGTTCCGCCAGAAAATGAATCGGCACCAAGCATGTCGGACCAGGATGCTAATCCCCCACAATCACACCACCATCTGCTGTTTTTTTTAGAGCCTCAGGGCCAGACCTTGCCCAAACACGGCATGGGGCAGACGGGTGCGAAAAAGTGGCAAAATGCGTCATCGTGTAGGTCATGCCATGAGCGCGTCAAGTGACTGGCGTTATATACCGCGGAGCTCGGTCGCGGCCGACTCCAAGTCAACAAGACACCCTCCGCATTGACTTGAAGTTTGACCAGACCTCTTCAACCTCAGCATACACAGCGACAGCGTACACCAATCCCTCCACGACATTGACAGTAAAACATTGACCCCCGCCGTCACCAGTCTCCCAACATGGCGTCGCCGGTGCCCATGAAGCACATTGACAGAGAGGATCTCTACACCAATCTAGAAGCTCGTATCCAATATCTGCATTCCTTCCTAGACTTTTCAAGTAGTACGTTGCACCGTGTTGCCTCCAGAGCAAAGGGAATGACATCTCACTGACTACGCACGCCAGACGACATTGAAGCGCTCATCTCGGGCGCAAAATACATCAAAGCTCTGGTCCCTGCCGTCGTCAACATCGTCTACCGCAAGCTTCTCCAGTACGACATCACCGCGAGAGCCTTCACGACCAAGAACACCACGCAGGGCGGGGAGGTTGGCGAGGCCCTCCACGAGGACAGTCCCCAGATCGTACACCGAAAGATGTTTCTGCGCGCATACCTCAACAAGCTGTGCTCGGATCCGAGCAAGATGGAATTCTGGGAGTACTTGGACAAGGTTGGGTACGTAGTCTCTTGAAAAGCGCAACAAGAGTTTGCTGGCTGACCACACCCACACGCGCAGCATGATGCACGTCGGGCTCGGCAGAAAGCACCCGCTGCACATTGAATACGTCCACCTCGGCACGTGTCTAGGCTTCATCCAGGACATCATGACCGAGGCCATCCTGTCGCACCCCCGGCTGCACATGTACCGCAAGATTGCGCTCGTCAAGGCCCTCAACAAGGTCATCTGGATCCAAAACGACTTCATGGCCAAGTGGCACGTCAGGGAGGCCGATGAATTCGGCCTCCTGGAGACGGACGTGGTCATTGAGAAGGAAGGCTATTTGCACGGCAAGAAGATTCTCGACGACAAGCTCATGGCGGATGCCGGCGCGGGACTGCCAGCGCCCAGCAAGAGCCAGTGCCCGTTTGCGACCAGTCTGCCTATTCCATCGCCCTTGAGGACCAGTATCGAAGTAGACAACGAAGAAACCAGCGTGCCTATACCGGCATCTCCCAAGGTTGAGGTTGAGGGTAGATGATGGTGTGTTTGTGTCACGGAATCGAGGGGGGCGGGCAAGCAGGCCTTCACGTGAGCGAGGTGTCATCCTTTGCCACTTTGCGGCATTTTTTTTTTGGATTCGTATGCATATACCTTTTGATCATTCAGTAATATAGCGATCGTCATGTGGACTCATGCCAATAGCGTCATGTCGCCACTTAAAATCCCGAATAAACTCTCCATCTCCGCGGCCACAATCCTCAGCTCGTCTGCCACTTGTCCCGTAACAAGCACGTATGCATACAGCAAAGCATAATCGCTCTCGGAAACAACAGCACCAGGCTCATCCTCCGCATAAGAGACGCCGGTACTGTTACTACTACCCGCTCGGGCCCGGTCGATGTCCGCCCGCAAAGCTGCCATGTTCTCCTCTCTAAATCGCGAGATTTTGCTCAGCAGGCGGTCGCGAGTCGTAAGTATATTCGGCAACGAATCTGTCAATGGATACTCCAGCATCATCGAGCTGGCCAGAACCTCAAAGATGTGGCAGATGCGGTCGCAAAGAACAACCCGCTCTTCAGCCGTGACTTCGAGCAAAGCCCTTTCGCCCTGCGTCAACCTCCCTTTCGACTGCGTCACCAGACTCATGGCAAAAAAGCTATCCAGAATCTTGGTGGCGCTCTGCATGATTCGTCCATTCGCCTGGAAAGGGAATGGACCCCGTAGTTCAAATTCGGAGGCGGCTGACTGGCGAAGGCTTTCAAGGCGGTCTGCATATCGCTGCAGGGCAGCCTGCTCGCCGGATTTGAGATAGCTCTGGGAGCAGTCGCTACGTAATAGGATGGCTAGAGGCCCCCGTCTCCAAATCAGTCCCATCTGAAGGAGCAGAACAGATATGCCCTCCTTAAACTTCCTCCGAGCAGATATGGGCCAGATGACACGACACACAATTAAGCCCCAGAGAATGCCGGCTGTAACAGAAATCGCTCGGTGCTTCACAATTTCCATAATGAGCGGTTGTACTCCGCCTTCGTCGTCATCCGCGTCGTCCACTTTCTGGCTCAGGCTGTATGCGTACAGGGTCGAGACATTGTAAGCCAAGATGGTCATTCTTCCTAACGGCGCTTGGCCACGTGCGACAATGAGATAGAAATTGAAAAAGCTCACGGCCCACCCCAGGATAGCGAGAACAACAGCATTCCCCTGGCTCAGATTCCAATTGATGATGGAAAAGGCCGCACCAAGAAAGGTACCAACAAATCTGGACCAGCCCGTGGTGTTGGAAGCCCCAACCGTCATGGAACAGACAATCATGAATGATAGCAGGCCCCATTCCCCACGGTAGTGATTGTACGTGGGCCGCGTGGCATCCAAGAAGGCAAACATTGCCCACAACGATGCTCCAATTCCCACCTTGATGCCAAACAAAACTAATGTTCCGTTAGTTGATAGACAGTCACCTGCTTTTATGCAAAACTTACTGTCGTCACGGGCCACCTTCCTCAATGTTCTCAGCACCATTCGCGACATCCTAGCAAGCCACTTATTCTCATCGGGAGATGCTTGCCAACTGTACGTGTCCCTCTGCTGCGACATTGAATCGGGTATTCCCTTGGGCACCGACGATTTCTTTATGGGCTTGATAAGGTTCTCGGAGTCGGACGACTCGAAGGGAGGAGCAGACATGCTGTAGCTACGAGGCGCGTCGGCCCGCCACCACACCAGCCACCTCCAACTTCGCTTAGAATGGTCGGTGACATATCTCAAATCTTCCAGCATGTCCAAGTACTTTTGCATCTCCTCACCAAAGGATTGGAGACTGAAGCTAAAATGCCCACATGCTGCTGCCATTTCCTCCAAAGCGACGTTAGTGGGGCTGCGGTTGGAATCGGCATGACGTGTTAGCAAATCGTAGACGTGTTGTAAAGCATCAACTCTCGAGCTTGTGAACGTGGCCAACGAGACTGTCAAAGCCGAGCGAAAGCCTTCGTTGATGTGTATTTCATACTCAGGTGGGCCGCCGAACACGGGCTCCTGAAGAACGAGAGAGAGCGTCTCCGTCAGGTCTTGCATTGACGGTCGAATCATGTTGGTAAATGTCTCAAAGAGATCTGATGCAATATGCGAGGGATCAGCGACGTTGCTGTTGAGGAGCGTCTGTTGTGTCTTTGCCGCACTTCTCAGACCCCCGATGGATTGCGCCAGTGTCTCCATTGCTTGCACGATTGATCGTTCCACGGAGTAGACTTTCTCGCGGCCGAGAAAGTATTGCTCGAATTTTGATTCTCTCAGACTTTTGAGAACTGCGGCGTGCGTCTGTTTGTAAGCGGACGAAGCTTTGGAGATTTCGTTTGGGTGGTCATGCCAGGTATCACCTCGGAGGAAGCTCGAGTTGACTGCGGTCAGCACGTCGCCAAGCGCTACCGACGCCTTCACCATCGATTCCCGCAGTTGCGTTCTTGCCGACACAGGCCAGATGAGTAGGTTGACTGCAGCGGCGCTTGTGATGCCCATTACAAGCATTTTTAGAACCTGAGCTATCTTTTGGTTGGAAAAGATGTTGTACACGACGGCATTCTCCTTGGTGACGACGGAAATAATTGCGATGGAAGCCAGTGTACTGCCGACATTGACAAGAGGATTGTTCATTCGTTGCTTGATCCATCCCATGAAGCCAAAGCCTCCTCCTATGAAGACAATAACCACCAAGGCATGGGCAAGAGTCACCAGGCCCAATCGGGCTCCGACCATGACTGAGACGACCATGGAAAGAATCGAGACAATTTCGGCGTAGGCGACGGCAAGAATGGCGATCAAGATAGCCTCTATCATAGAACCGGCAGATCTCGCAGCATGGAAGTACACCGTGATGGTGGCGACGACATGTTTACCATCTGGCCTGCCCAAGAAGTCAGACAGCGGCCCAACAAAGGTAGCCAAACTGGCCAGTGTGTAGGCAAAGGTGCATTTTAGCACTCCGCGGCCCTGCGTCGAGTCGAGCCATTCCGCAAAGCGCAATACATGGGAAGAAACGGTATTTTTCACTTGGCTGTAGCGCTTCAGGATATTTTGTCGCTGGGGGAAGCGTGGTGACGAGGCTGCATTGACCGGCAGATTCGGCGCCTCCATCGAATGCAAAGACGGGGTTGTGGCATTTTCGTTTGGGTTGTTGGATGGTATTGTAGGGATCGTAGAGTCGTGATGCGAAATACCACCGTCAGTCTGTATCAGCGAAGAGGCCATACGGCCTGTTGCGGTATTTTGGACGGCTGCTCTGTGTTGTCGGTCGGGTTGCGTGGATGGTGAAGGCAGCTATCGCCCAGATTCGCCACATGCAGACTGCACGAAAGGACGATGTCTGGAGGTGCAGAACGGATAGCCCTCGTAGCTCAAGCAGCCGACTTGAACCCAAAGGCAGCAAACGAGACGTTGGAGCTGTGGCCAACGGATGGTAACGCACTTGACTGATTGCTCAAGGCAGATGCGCCATCGAGCCGTTGAGTGATGCCAAGACTTGGAGAAGGCTGGAGCCGCAGTTCACCAAACCCCGGTCACGCGTGCCGCTGATGGGACGATCAGCTGGCACCAGTTGCCGGGTTTGGTCTGGTCTGGTCCAATGCTTGTCCCTGTCCTTGGCCCACACGTGCCAGGCGTCGACCACCAACATTCGTTCGTCAAACCTTCAATGTTCGACCCAACATCTAATGCGGACAGCTTGAGTTGGAGCCACCACCCGTGTCAATACCGATATGTCTGTTACCACAAACGTGTGGGCGGGCTTGATTGCCCAGGCAGCCGATTAGCCGCGACAGCTCAGTGACAGCTCCACGACGAAAAGACAACGTTCCCCAGCTATCATCGACAAACGTCAACGTTGGCGCCACCTGTGCCCTAGCAGTCTTCTGCCATAATCGTGGGTTCGAAAATAGGAACAAAACTAACATGTCTATATTCGGAATCTATAGTGTCTATTCAAAAAGAAAACGCATTAGCTCAAAGACGACTCCGACTTGGCGCTTGCTCTGTCTCGGTTGTCTCGGTCGCGAACAGAGACAAGTTGCAACTCGTCTGTTTCAACATATTTGACTGTGAAAGACTTCTGGTACCATATCCCATTGCCACCCTCGCCGGCTGCGTTGCCATCTCTTCCACTTTGGGAGTCGCCGCCCCCTCCCCGAGACCTCGTGTTGTGCATCTTGTCGCCTGTTCTTCTGTCGGCATAATATTGCTGGGTCGTCTCTCTGAGCCGAGGAAATAATCGAACCAGCAGCAGCCGGAATGACGGCAAGCAGACGCATATCATACTGACGTTGATCTCAATGTCGGACCAGATACCAACATCGAAGAAGTCCCAGGTTGGATTTTCGGTGCTATAGGAGAAGGCGATGAGTGATCTCAGGCGCAGAATGCTGACAATCGTTACACTACCATTGACATGCAAGTCAGCTTAAAAAAAAAAAGACAGTCGCGCTGTACCGCATTCGAGATTATGGGAAAACGTACAATGCGCCAACGGAAAACATGGCGGCCACTCCAGCCTTCTTTTTCCATCCTAGCCGGAGACTCCTCAGCTGCCACAGCGGAATAGCCAGCATCCAAACATCCATCGATATGCTGATGATGGCATTCGACCAGGTTATTGCGTTTATATTCAGGCACTGGCCCTTGTGTTCGCCGTCCCACATGACCCAGAAGTAGTTGACGGGCTTGCACTGGAAAATAGCAACCAGGACAAAAGCCAGGCCAAAGGCAATGTCGAAAGCAATGGTGCCCCAGAGCAAGCGTTGGACATTTCTGCTCGGGAAGATGCGCATGTAGAAGAAGAGCAGTGCGAGCTTGGCAAGCGACACTTCGGCCAGGTAAATGATTTCGTCCATGTAAAAGTACAGGCTAAACTGGGTGATTTGCTCCGGCGTCAGGGTCCAGATATCCCGGCCGATGCCATTGACGGTGAGGAAATGAGCGTTAATCACGGTACTCGGAATGCCCGCCACCAGAGTGAGCAGAGTACACCAGTCGTCGAGGCCCAGCTCAAGGCGCGCGTAGAATTTGTATGCAAACCGTTGCACAATGAACAAGGCGGCTATGATGACGAGCGTATTGCTGACAATCTGGTATGTTGCGGCCTTGTCTCGCATCGGTCGATTACACAACGTCTGTGTCATGTTCATCGTGGCTACCAGGTCTCGGCGGTTAGTCTTTTCATCTTGTTCGTTTATTTTTTGACCCTCGCAATTCGCGACATACCCAAACCCTGTTTGATTGTGCAATTCTTTTTGACGCAGCTCGTCATCTCCTCATTGATGGTCCTACTCTCGCAAATACATGTCTGGTCCGCCAGCTTGCAAGGCGAGTGGGATACAGTCGCGAACAGGCAGTCCAACTAGATCAAGCCGCCCAAGTGTTATGATACAGTCGACGTAGACACGATACAAGCGGTTTCGGGCGACCTGCACTTACTGCGCATTCCGGCATGTCGCCAATCGCAGCCAGCGATGAGTTTGTATCAGCGGAGCGGGAGAGCTGGACAAAGGCCAGCCCGGCCAATACTCGAGATAGCGCCACCATTCTTCCCCCTGGAAAGATTGACCTTTGTCTATGTCGAAGCCAAATTGCGACGATGTCAAAGGTGCAAAGCGCGGAGAAGACGGATCTGGATTGTGAAAACAGCAAGAACGAGAGCGGCCGCTACAATGGCCACATCGTCACCCATCCATCCATCTACAACAATGGAAACACGGAATATTTTACAAGAGGGTTAAAAAATTTAGATTGGTCCCGAGGCAGACGAGTAGCTTCCAGACTTGCGCAACCCCGAACCCGCCGTCGTTCCAGATTCACGGCACAGGTACTATTCGTACATGGGGAAAAAGCAAACAGGCAGGGATTCCGGGCGAATCGGGCCCAGGGAATCATTCAGCTGCAGAATGCGTCAACATGTGCATTTCGCGGTTGGAACTTTCTGCAGGCTAGGAGGACCTGGAGACATGCCAATGTCCCGAACGAGAACCTCTTCCGTGTCGTGTGGACCATATTCGCAGGGGCGGCCTTTACACACAGCATACATGCAGTCGACAGAGCGGGTGAAACCTGTGAGAACAATTGTCACTGCTACATTACACGATAGGGCGCAGCTGATGTCCGTCCGATTTAACGGCCCGACGTTGTCCTTTCACGAGTTGTGTGGATGCCTTGTCCGGCCCAGCATCATGGCCATGTCTCAAGCGTCCCATCGCCAAGCCGTGGGTTAGCTGGAGAAGTTGGATCGGCCTCTATTGACGCTCCTGGATCCTGATGCCGATGCTCGCCGATCCGCACTTCCTGGCACATGCATGTGACGCCGAGCACCCTGCATCCGGGGATGGAGACTGTGCTGGGACCGGGCAGGATTTGGCACCGGCAATAAAAAAGATTAGAGGGCCGGCTGCGAGGGACGGGTTCAGATGCGGCCAAATTGCTATCGAGTTGGCGGCAGAACGGTACAGCCAGGGCATGGCCTTTCGATGAAGCTGCGATATTCGCCCCTGGGACCCGGTTGGTCGCATCACCATCATGTCAAACCATTAGTGCCATCGGCCAACTTAAGATGCGGTCTGGTGGGCCTGCAAAGCGAAGTAGTATCCGGGGTTCCGGGTAAGAATTTTCTATGTCATCCGTCGCAGCATCTATTGACCAGACTGTTGAAACTCTGGTCCGCGGGGGTCGCTGCAACGGGTCGGCGCAATTACCCTTCTTGGCAAGACTGGACATTACCGTTGGAAGTTGGAACCGCCGGGTTGGGTTGGGCTGTTTGTTCCTGCGAAAGATGTAGGCTATTATTACTGTCTAGACTGATTTCACTCACCCAGCCGTCCCAGGGGATGAGCGCAGCGCGACCGTAGTTCTTGGTCGAGGAGCGCCCAACATACAATGTACGAATGTACGAATGCACTAATGCGTTCTGTGACGAAGGGCTGCTTGCTCATGTTCCATGGCGGCAACGGCATCCACTCCGGCTACATGGAGCCGAGTGTCTGGATCGATTGCAGATTGGCGACTTTGTTAGCCTCTAGCCCAATGAATGTGTTTGGTTTGACCACCGATGCGCGGTTCGGGTTAAAGACGGGCTGAAAGACTGATATACTGACAAATGGTCACCACAACCCTGCTATTCGTCTTTTCTCGTAGCATAACAGGGCGTCCGCTTCATGGCTCCTTGGTGAGATGGTCATGTTCTTACTCCTATTACTATCAGGTCCATTGTGCGTACGGACTGCTTCATGAAGAATGTGCCACGGCCCTACCTTGATGGGAGCTCGCGAGCTCGCGCCTGTGAAATATAGCGCTGGCCATGAAAGCAACCCATAAATACTTCAAGGCGGAAACTCTTTTACAATCGTCGTATCAGGTCTGTCTTGGTAGGTTGGACAAGAAGACTTGACGCAATGGCTACATATCATCAAGTTGTCGATATCACAAGTTCAAAAAGTCCTGATTTCAGCAGTTGGCTGCAAGTCTTTTAAAATCAAGAATACACGATAGGAACCTTTCTGAAGGGTAGAAAAGAGAAGAAGAAATTTCAAAGACAAGCCTGGTTGACAGTGAGTCTTATGAAGGGACAATAAATGGCGACACAGTATGTCTCACCAGGGGTGGAAGCGTTTCCGATTGGCACTCGGATTGTACTAGCTATGGAATGACATTTCAATTGTAGCATAGCATTGTGAAATCGCATGCAGACCTTGGCATTTATGCGCATTACAAGACTCGAGTCATTGCTGTTCTCTCGCCTGGGTACGGCCAGGCTGTACTCCGTATTTTTCCCTGAAGTAAAATCCAGTCAAGCGTTATTTTCTTTCAAAGGTCCAAGAAGAAAGAGCCTGTTCTTATATGCCAAAAGCGCTGGATACCTGCTATGCAGCGAGATAAAAGCACTGACTTTATTAGCCTTGAAATACAAAATCTCGTCGCAAGAATATTGCATGGAGCATAATAACAAGCGGACCTTATGTGGCGAAATATTATGGCAGTGTGACCAGTACGGGATGAAATGACTTTGATTACGTCAAAGGACAATTCTGGACTGCTCGGTGGCATCAAGTTCCACCAGACATAATATAATTCAAGCTTTGACTAGTTATTGCCATGTTGCAGGATAGTTCGCATCAACTACCATGGAGTATTGCGTAGTTACTACCTTTACTTGATATCGTTTGTCTCCATATAGCTCCAAAGTATAATGTTATCCGCTAGTGAATTTGCGTGGCTCTAGTTGGTGTTTTCTATTACTGCCTTACTGCCTGCGGTCTCGAACTGCATCTCTCTGATTCGGCAAACGACAAAATACAAGTCATTGGAAAAGCATGCTCCTTTACTGTTTCGGCATAAGAGCGGTCATCAAAGAGTGCGTATACTATTAAGCTGTTAAAGCTGTCCTGCGGTATTTAACTAGATGACAGCACCGAGGCTTTACAAATATGCCCCAGTAGTGTTATATTGCCGGGAAGCGGTAAGCCTTATGCCATGTCGGATTTTGCGTATAGTATAGTCCCTATGTACAGTTTGAACATTAAACCGACAGACTATTTAGTTAAATACTCGCGGATGCCCCCGTCGCATAATAATATCGTGGACTGTTGGTAAGTAATTCGTAATCAAGTCATTGCTTGTCTGTACGCATTAACGCCGAGCGGCGCTGGCAGCTACATCCTAACGTCGCTGACGCTCGTGCACTCCATAAATCGAGACCTGGGCATCTTGGCCCTGTCCCCGACCAGTATCTTCTTCTTTAAACCTTTGTTCTTGTTTCCTCTTCTTTTTTATGCTACTAAAGAGTAGCCTATACTCGAGGTATCACTTGAAGACTCCATGTTGGTCGCATAAGAGACGTCACTCTGCTTACAAGACAGGGACTCACTTATGCAGGCACGGGACCATCATGCAGCGCGCTTGTATCAAAGAAATACGATATATTGACTTCATGGGGAGAGAGCCGGGGCCAACAGCCTGTCCACCAGGAGATGATTAAATATTAGCCTCTCGGCTATTACAAGAGTTATTTTCACAAGACAAACGTCCAAGTTGGTACCCTACTCTTGGCTGAGAATTGCTTGGAATATATTGCACCGATTATTTTTGTAGGGCCGTGCAGACGTTAATAATCCGATGTCGTTTGCGAGTGGCTTGCGTATCGCCTACCGGCTGCGACGCCTGGAATGGGACTCCGAGCTAAGATGCAACTGCCAATATTGGTGTATATCCCTGAGCTCTGATTACAGTGTGTCTTATTCTTGCTACTTACTGTGAATAAAATAAACACCAAATTTTCGTTGTAATTATACAATTCAATACTAGCTTTTCCTATAAATACAAATCATCTTGGTGCTATATAATTCCTGCAGCCCTTCATATAAGCTGAAGCGGAGTCCATGTCAATCGAATTAAAATGTTACAGGTAATTCTTGTATACCAACGTCTTTATGCAGAGGTGTATACTTAATCTCAGGAATTGGCACTGAAATCTTGAGATTGGGAAGCTGCTGGAACAGAGTCGCTAATGGTAATAACATGGTCAGCACCTCTCCACGCCGCAGGCTCTTAATGATTCATTTTTGGGGGAGAAATCTTACAAAACACAGTCGTCAGCTCCGCCTTGGCCAGACCCTCTGCAATGCATCGATGCTCGCCGAAGCCGAAGCCGAGCGCATCTTGGCTCGGCCACTTGCGGTGCATGTCGAACTCGTCTGGTCGTGTAAATATCTCTTCATCTCGATTAGCCGACTGGTTCGACGCGATAACGCCCTCGCCCGCCTTGACAAGCTGGTAGAAGGCACTCATGTCAGCATGTAAACGTTCCCTTGTATATACCGGCGTTTTGAGTTACTACCTTTCCCCCGATTTCAATGTCCGTCATGGCTGTCCGCTTAATGGCCATGGCAGAAGCAGTGTGGTAGCGACACAGCTCTTCCACAAATGCAGGTGCAAGTGATGGATCAGCCGTCAGCTCAGCAAGTTGAGTTGGGTGCTGGAAAAGCGTCACGACACCCTGCCGAGTGTTAGTCACAGAAATGATTGCCAAGTCTTCAACGGCATGTGCGTACGAGCGCTATCATATTCACCATGGTCGCATTCCCTGCAACGAGAAGCAGGAACGCATTCTGAACAACATCGGCCTTGGAGATGTTTCCAGGAATCATTTGCTCCACTACCAGCTTGCTGATGAGGTCGTCCTTTGGGGCCGCAGCCCGCAGATCGACCAGCTTTTCGAGATACTCGAGAAGTCCCCTAACAGCAACATTAGCTCTTTGTCGCAACCATTCTCCCCTTTGCTCGTGTGCTCAGTGTCTCATACTTGCTAGCGGCTGATGCCTCTCTCGCGGATGCACTGCCATTGGTGCGGATAGCATTTTGTTCCGTGAGAAACTTAAGGTCCTCGAACGGGACTCCAAGAATGCTGTAGATGATCTAGAACCACGGTTAGTAAAACGCAAGTCGGCGCTACCATGGGAGCCGCTTTACAAATGAGGGCACTGGGAGTGCGAATTCCTTGACCAAGTCAACGGGCCCAGAGGCACACCCTTTGGCCTTTAACGCATCGAGGAGATCATCCACAGTCTTCTGGATATACGGCTGCAACGACTTGATATACTCGGGGGTGAAGAAATGGTTCACCATGCTCCTATAGGGGCTTGTTAGACAATGGAACCTGTGCACTGGACGAGTTACCTGCCTGTGTTTCGTGTGCTCCGGGGGGTCCATGTCGACAAACGTCGGTTTGGCCTTTGCCGCCTCTTTGCCACCAGCACTTAGCTCGGGGAAACCCGGACGCGTCCTAATCTTGAGCCACATGTTAGCCGTACATACCAAAGTAAAAACTTTTGTTCACGTGTCTGCGCGTCTTTACCTTGGACAGCCTGTTATCCGTTGCTACAAAGGTCACATCCTTGTACTTGGTTACTAACCAAGCAAGGCTCCCGTCAAAGAGCTCAACCCTCGACACCGGATCAGTGGCCCGCAGACGAGCATATTCGGCGGGAGGCTCCATGCCTGACGCCCTCAGGAAAGGGAATTTGGGTGGGCTAGCCATTTGGCCACAAGTGTATGCGAAACCCCTCGCTTGTACACAACGCGCTGGGACCCGGACGGCTAACACAGCTGGGTGAGGTCGAATAGAACTTCGTAGGCAGGACATGTATGTGGCCTGATTCGATATAATGTGTACGCGCACTGTAATTTGTCTTGGAATGACTTTCGGGACTTGGTCGTAATGGAGTATTTCCGGGGAAAATAACATGTTGCGAAACGTCGGCCACGACGACGGTATTTATAGCGAGTGTGACCATCAATAATAGCGGCACATATTTGTGATGAGTCGCCATGGTGGCAAGTATGCGCATTGAAATGGCTCACTCTGGCCAATGTTGTGTAACAGAGTTGCGGCCCGTTGATTGGTTTGGCAGGCCTCATGATCGTATGACACTCTCGACCAGTTTCCAAGCCAATATCAGACTAGGCATTAATAAGAATCGTTGCATCGAGCCGGGATACTTGCTTTTCAAAGACTCAGCAAGATTCCGGGATCAGACGGGGCAGTTGCCGTCGCTCAAGCCTGTACCTTGTAGTCTGGTTGAACACCTTGCCCTTCGGGCAGCCCTGTATCATCGTGTTTGCAACTCCGCGGCAAGACCGCAAATCGATCGGGCTGGATTGTCCACTATTGACCCACTCCTTGCCCAGTTCGTTTGGCTTTACTTTACTCCTTGATGTCGATAGGATTGACCAACGATTCGAGCACGGCAATGCCCACTTCACTGTCAAGGTATTTTCTGGCACAAAAGTCTTCAACTTTCCTTCGACTGGAATCCACTATTCAGACGAAGAGAAGACGAGGCGACCCTCCGTACACGATTCAGCTTCAACACTTCACACGATCAAATGTAAATGTCTGGTGCTAGTCAGCCGTGACGGCATGTCTACGGGAGCTGTCGGAAAATGTCGGCCGCTGTCACTACCCTTCCCCAAGGTCGTATCGAAAAAGGTTCCATACGCAAATAAGTATACTTGCGCGGAGATGCATATTCCATCCGCAAGAGGCCCGTGATTTCTTGCATGCAGGTAACTCAGGGTCAGCAGCGAATCATGCCGGGCGCATTAACTTGTCTACAGGCCAAGACACGTGGTTCTCTCCAAGCATGAAGAAACTCTGTTATTCCCTTCGCGCTGATTGGTGCTTGTGAACCGGGATGGATCGAAGACGGCCCCATGAGGACTAGTTTCCGATGCATTAGTTATGGGAGGCGGATTTTGACAACCTTGATGTCATGCGAGGGCTACGATCACGGGACCTAGGGTAGGAGACCCTCACTGGCTTCTTGTTCTTGAATTTTTAAAGAGCTCTCTGGTCAATTCGGTCTTGAGGAAGACCAAGGACCTTGAATACTAAAGGCTGTTATTAAATAAATTGAGCCATAATACTTTGAGCCTTTGGCCCTTAGCACATTTGAACACCCGCATTTGTTGCCACGTGTTGAACATGGGAACACGGGACTAGCCGTTATTAGTCGAGCTGCGGCTGCTTTGGCTCAAAAATCAGCGCATGGCACGGCCCCTGGGATCGGATGCAAGATCACGAGATCACGAACCCGACACAATAAAGGCGAATATTTCCGTTGTTCCGCGAGTGTGCGCATTATATCCTCTCCATGTTTGGACAGGGGTTGGCGCATGTCACTGTATTTTCAGGCGCGACGAAATTCAGAATGCTCAATGTCGTCATTTACTTTCTGGGGTGCTGCAGACATCTCCTGACGGTCAAGGTTCCAACACGTGTAGGTATAGGACTGGTATTAGTCACCTTGAACAGTTTTAAGACGTCAAGTTTATCACCTTATTTTTTAGGGTTTATAGCGAAAAATGGTCATGGGAAACATACAACTTTGGGCTTGATAGTTTGTATCATCTTCTTTAGCAATAACTACCCTGAAGCAATTCCGCTGTAAAGGCCACTTAATAGGTGGCGTCATCAATATACTTAGGATTCTGTACCTCGGGATGGAGTTCTGTAGCCAATACCCCTGTAAGCATAGAGCGTGTGAAAAGAGTTGATACTTATACTCAGTGAGAATTTCCTCCTGAATTCCCTCCCCTCCCCGTGAGCAACCATCTTATCCCAACCGCACTCGGACATGTTCATCATCTCGTATTGCCACACTTTGATTCGCGGCTTGCGCGGGCATACATCACATGAGCCCGGGAGATACCGACGCCCCAATAGAAAATCTAATGTCGGAATGATATCAGTACCTCTCAACGACTTTTCGGCCTTGGAGAGTGAATTACCTCGTCGCCTTGGCTTCCTTGTATGCTGGTCCTTTCGTGCCTTGTATCCTCTGCGCTACCATCCTATTAGACGAAATAGCTACAGCCTAGCGAGTCAAACTTACCAATGTCGTCGAGATGCTTGGGAGAATTGCCCTCTGTCTGTTCCCACCATGCGCGCAGCATCCAAGCTGACACGAGTGCGTCGCAATCCTCGGTGGTCATTTTTCCATGGAGCATGAGGCTTCTGGAATCCTTGCCATCGGACTCTGTAGCCAACAGACAGCGCTCTGCATTGCGCCATTCATAGTCTACATCTCTCTTTTTACCCGGCACTGCCGAGAATAGCAGGTCGGAGTGCTTCTCGCAGTCGGGCGTTGACTGGCTAGCCCGGGAAAAGTTGAAGCCCTTTTTAGATGAAAATCGGCTAGGGCGAAAAAGCTGGAGGGTGAACGAACACAAACCGGTTTGTTCGTTGTGTTTGGCGTAGAAGCTGACGGGCGTCACGGTATCTGGGGACCGACACACTAAATCAAAGATGTGGCAATGCGAAATTGTAGCCGGAGAGCCGTCGCCGTTGTCTTCTTTTTCGGACACGCCCAGCCGTTCAACTCGTACATTTTGATTCGTATCGATGAGATAGTTCAGTGAGTGGGACAACTTGTATAGTTTGCACGCTTCGTCATCACCGGCGCAGATGTAGCGCCCTTGAACACGGAGCGTTGTTGGAAATATAATTTGACATGGCTCGTCGATCGGCATTTGGCAGTTGTGCTTGTTAACACGGATAGTGTCAACGGAACAGAAGGGGTTTAATTGCTCAGCAATAAAGCGCGTTCTTTTTCTTGACAGATAGCAATTTAAAATAGTGCTTTCTAGGACGTTGCAGGATGCCAGAGAACAACAAGTATGTGGAGAGGCTCTCCGCATTATATGCCCTTTTCGAAAGATTTGCATAGGGTGGCTGATGGTCTGAAATTCATGGTTCGGCCCGCATAGCCACTATCTTGGCAATGGGTCGGTGTAGGTTATGACTACACAACGTCGCCATTTTCGGGGCGAAGCACACACTGCCCGGTCACGAGGGCGACAACGTTGCTTCATGGCAACTTGGCAGCGACAACATAACGGGTCTGCCAGACGAGCCTATTATCTTCGGTTGTCCTCTATTCTTGAAGAGTCATGGAGAACCAGCATGTGGTTGCACCATCCAGGTCAACTTCAGTACAGTAACGGCCCTGGAAAAGACCCTGATTGATTTGCAACAGTGTCAATATTGTTACCAAAGTGTAGCTTGTGCAGCCAAAGCGCGAATAATGCCATGGATATTGCAGCATGACGCGCGGTGCAATTTAAGAAATGATACAGGAATAACTGTCTGAAATGCTCGCAGTCACCTTGAAAGCAATCGAGTTAGTTGAGCAAGTGCCACATACTATCCGATATCTGCCAGAGGTTTGAGCTGAAGAGTTTGGGGACTATCTTCGTGGCTTGGCGGCCAAATCCTGACTGAAAAGCAGCAGTGAGGGATTCCGACAGCGGTCTAGCTGGACCTCCTCATGCAAGAGTGGCAAGCAGCTCAGTAATAGGCCCTGATGATGCTGAACTCTAATCAATAATAGACGTCATGTTGAGGTCGTCATCGACATGGAGGTTGCCGACGTCAAGGTCTGTGACAAGGGCTCAATAGAGGGCTTAGAGCAATTTGGCTCAATTCAGCTAATAACAGTCTTTGGTATCAAAGGTCCTTGGTTTTCCTCAAGGCCTCGGTCGCCAAAGACGGCTTTAAATACAAGAAGTCGGTGAGGGACTTTGCCCTAGGTCTCGTGACCGTAGCCCTTGTGTAACCATGCATTTCCGTGTAACAGGATCAGAAAGGGTGAAGCAGCCCTCAAGTGTGGAAGAAAGGGAGAGTATCATTTCAAAGAAGAACTGCCCTGCAATGCAGTGGAACAGTCGAGTCATATTATGATTGATTTTCTGGCTAATAGTGACCCTTTCATTCCAGCGCTGCGCTGCTGTCCTTGAGGAGCAATGCTCCTACCAGACGATATACTCCCTGATAGCCCGGCTCATGAAGCTTCGTTCCGCTCACCGCTGTCTGTAAATGCTGAAAATGAAGATTTGATGAGTGAAGCAACATGTCTGCCGACTCGGAACGGCCACCTCGAGACTGTACCGCTTTTGCATGAGAAGACTGCTGCTCGAAAACCGGCAAATGACTGACTAGGACGTCGTGAACGTAGATGACAACAGGGCGGCACAGAAAACGCAGGCGGGATTTTGCTAGGGCCCTGTCCTCTTATATGATGCGGTAAATGACGCCTGGCAGTATGTATTGGTGATCATATCTCACTGCACCCATTTGCAGGTCGGCCCGGGCCTTGTCATGACCAAACATGAGCAAGAAAGCATACCCCTGCGACATTAAACAAAACCCAATATACGTAGGCTGGTCGAAACCTGACTAGCATCTTATCATTCGTGAACCATTCGGTCAATATCGAGCATAATGCGCGTAAATTACATGAAAGCCAAGCGCCCCCCACTCCGGCAGGGGTCATGACAATACTCTCGGTTGTAGTCCCATCAAGAAGCTGCATTTATACCAATTTAGCCGTGGTACCTGCTATCCATGGTGGTGTCAGGAATACAGCCCAGGACATCTGGTAATAGCCCGCGGGTTCGCAACAAGCTGACTCTCGGGCACCGCGAACCTACGGGACGGTTGGCCTCTCGTCCCAATTACGCAAAGTTCCAAGTCAGTTGGCAATGTCAATGTTCTGGTGTGTGCCTTATTCGGCCGCAGGGGGGCGTTTGGGCTTGTGAAAAACTGGCTTGTGCCACGCTGTCCATATTGCTAGTCATGTATAGTATCGACCCTTGCTTTGTGTTTCATTGCTCTACCGGTTGTTACTGCTCTCGAGTCAGATTCTCCCACCGGCAGCACTGACATTTGTGGGGGGCGGGTCAGTAATATGCTTTTCTTAGAAAGCATTGACCGTCATGCTTAAATTGCTGTCTATTTTAACCGACTATCCAATGCACTATATTCTGTCCGGGTTTTTAGTTATAAGTCGCAAGAAATCCGCCAACTCGATCCATATCCCACTCACAGTTTCATCTCTCTCGAATTACCCTACAAATCTCCCAAGGACAATTTTTACTAGCATATTACCATGAAGCTCTTGGCTGCGACTATTGCTCTTTCCGCACTTGCTGCGGCTGTTCCGCAGCGCCCAGACATGTTATACATGGTTACAGGACCTTGTACGGACCTTAGAAACACTATTTGCGTAAGGGGTTCCTACTAGTGCGCCGTTGAGGTCTTGACAGTATACTAAACTCTAGAGATGTAGGGCGTAAATGACATGGTAGAGGATCCTAACGTCAAGGGCAACCGCATTAGCTGTCGCTTTTACCAAGGCGAGGTAAGAGAAGTTATAAAAGACACAAGAATATACTAAATTATACTAACACACTTCTTCTAATAGAAGCAAGATGACCTTCTCTGCCAGGTTAATCAGTTGTCAAAGGGCCAACAAGTAAGCCGTCTTGCAAAGTCAAATTCTTCATGGACTAACCCGTAATTTCTTCCAGGCAAAAGACGACGCTTCAGAGATCTGTGGCGCACTGGGCGGTGTAAGCATCCTGGCTGTATTTCCCGGCAAATAAATATAAGACTTGGTTGTACTAATACCGCGCGACGCTTTACAGTGCACTTGCGCGTGGTCGACTACGGAGAGAAAGATTCGCAAAAGAATCGGCGGCCGAATCGTTGGTACCCCCCTCATAACATTGAAGGCAGCATTGGATGCGTGCTGACACTAGCTACAAGGTCAATTTCAATTGTCTGCCGAACCCCAAGTCGAAAAACACTGTAAGTTCATAGATGAATAGTAACACCTTTCCCTTTACATGGCTTATCATACTCACACTATGGGAAAATGTAGCCTGCAGCCAGGGAACAATTCCTTAAATCAATTGATGAGGCTGCGGCAGAGGCGTGTTTCTGGGAAAAAGAAATGGACGAGTCTACTTGTCAAAGTTACAAGTTGGATTGCATTCATACGTTGTCCGAGGGTGAACATGAGGACCCTATTACCCCAGATCAAGTCGAGAGGTGTGTCCGCGACAGGATCCGGGAGAATCGCGCACCTAGCACCGCACGTTAGAGCAGCGCTATTACACCCAGTGCCCCGACTTGGATACTCAAGTGCTACTTGACTTTTACTTTCATCAAACTTACCACGTATTAAGTACGTTTTCACAAACTTGGGATAAGCTTTAAGCTTACTTAAGCGTTTTATAGACACATATGTAGGCAAATAAATTTATCTGCCCCATCATCTTAGTCTACACGAGTAGACCTCGGGAGCCGAGATTGAAATGTGAGCTTTTAAATCCATGAGCGTAGGGAGATAGTTCATGGGTCGCTTTGTGCCAGGAGCCCGTCTGGAGGGCAAGATGGAACGGACCTCGAAGATTTACGGGAAAGACTCCATTGAACGGCCCAAAAGCTTGTTCGTGAGGAGGAGTTTGATGTTGCTTGCCAAAAGATGCCGTGGACGCTGGGATCTGGTTCTTCTCAGACTAAACAGCGCTGAGCGCCCAACGGGTGTGCTTTCCAACAACGCCACGGCTGAGTCTACAGAGACCAAGAACTTACCGCCCCATGACGTGGTTGGCTGACGTTTAAGTTTGATATGCTCTACACGCTGGCATTATCAAGTACAGGATACACGAGCACTGCTTGTTGCCGACGTTTGTAGAGAAAGCCCAGAGCCGCTGAGGTATGTAAAACTCTTTTAGCTTTGTGTCATGTCTTGACTGTTCGTGACCTGTGACACGGCATTCGCTCCGATTAGGTGCGCAGAATATTCTTGGACGCCGAAACATGTGGTGAGTCGACGGTTGCGGACGGGCAAAGCATGTGGCTGAATATCGTTCAAAGCAACATTGAAGGTTAATTCCCATGCGAAACCTACTGCCGCAGCTTGTCGAGTCGGGGGATGCACCTCGGCTAGCATATATATAAATCCATCAGAGCGACTGTGAAAGCACTTGCATTGCAGCCAGAACAACATCCAGCGTCCATCTTTACTCCTCAGCAATTGAGAATGCGACACTCTACGGCAACGCTAGCTCTCGGGACGTGTGTCCTTTGGCTGCTCGTGGCGGCCTCCGCAGCACGTCTCGACGAACAGCACCTCTTGTCACACGAAAATATCCAACATGGGGCGTCTCGAATTTCGAATGACTGCGACTTGGATTACTACTGCCGTCACGACAGATGTAGACCTGGATGCGATCGTCATCGACGATGCAAGGAGCCCGCCGGGGGCCTGCCGCACAAGATTTGTTTGCTCGACAATACGTGCGCCTCGGGTCGCCGCGCGAGTCAAGACTGCGCAACAGGCGAAATATGCTCTCTTAATGAGTGCCAGAGCCGTCCTACCTGTGACCTGAGGCGAGGAGGCAGTCCATGCACCGGCACGAATCAACAGATTGCATTCTTCCCCGGCACCTTTACCCAAGACCAGTGCGATGCTGCATGTAGAGAGGCTTCAACCAACTGCCGGTCGTTCGCAGTGGCGGCGGAAGGTGGTCCGTATGGATGCTATCTCTACAACCGAGACGTTTCCATCTGCGGTGGTCAGCCTGGTGCCGCTAACTGGGCCTATTCCGACCGCAACTGCCCTCATTCATGGACGAGGCCTGTGTGTGATTTGAAGGGAGGCGGCAGCTATTGTACTAACAGCCCGAGACAAATTACATTTATCTCGGGCACATTCACGCCCGCTCAGTGCGGCGAAGAATGCAAGGCTACTTTGAATTGTCGGTCGTTTGCGTTGGCCTCTGCAGGGGGGCCGTATGGATGCTATCTCTATAATTATAGCGTTTCAGTATGTCACGGCGAGCCGGGTGCAAGTAACTGGGCCTATTATGACAAGAACTGCGAGGCATACGATTCAATTTAAAATGGGCTGTAAAGGAATCATGGGACTGTTACGAAAAAGAGTGAGATAATTATAGCTATCGTCTAACTATAAGGTGGTAGGTTTCTGGGATAATTTCATGTGTATCGCATCAAATGCTTTTGAAACCTCTCTACACTCGCTAGTATCAACAACTAATAATGTCTCATAACAGCAGTCAAATATCCACAACATATTATCTGAATGAACAAGAGCGGCTCTGCTGCCACTTGTCCATGGAGGTTAGCTCATATACTTGTTGAGGAGCGACAGCAACGAAAGCGTTTCTGTTTTGCTAAACACCGTCCATATTACGACGAGGCATAACTGAAGCGATGCAATGCTTCGAGTCAGGCAAGGAGGTTGTATTTCATGATTTGCACGTCGTCCCATTAGCGTACAACTGCCGCCGACTTGCTCTTTATCATTGCCATGAATAACTCAACTCTTCGTCCAGGGCACTATTTCAGCTGTAAAACATTAATTAATTACGCAGTAAAAGGGAGACACAAAGCAGGGCAACATGACATTTCTATTGCTTCATCTGGAGAGCGCTTCAACGACGTTATAATAGCAGCCAGATTTAGCGGCATTCACCGCTGGCCCCGATAGCTAGGCTCGATGCAAGTACTCAAGATGTCAATTATACACTCTGATTATGACCAGTGCTATAACTGCTGATCAGGACAGCTGCCGACCCTTCAGCCCATTCTACCCCTTGCACCACCGCTGAGAAGGACAGTATTTTATGCGGTTTAGCACATTTTACCAATAATTTACACAGGAAACCATCTTCAGTTATGATTTGATCTTTTTATTCTTGATTGATGTTATAGCATTGGTGAACCGCAATGCCCTGAGTCATGAATCCTGCGCCTTATAGTACTTGAACCACCATAATTGACCAGTATTTGACCTGTCCATTGTCCGCCAACCAAAGCATTATAGTAAAGCTGGCCAGACTTCCCGGAGCCTTGATAAAATCAGTACATGTTGTTTTGAAAGGAGATGACAGATGGCCCGTCCGACATGGATGACTGAGGCACTTGGCGATCGCCTCGCCATTCGTTCCGCCACCAGAAATTATACCAAAGTTGGCCACTTTTCCTACTACCTTGGTAAAAACAATAGAGTATATCGTCAATGACGTTGATGGCTGATGGCTGATCTGATAGAGATGTGCCAGAGACTTGCTGATCGCCTTCCCAGCCCTCTGCACTCAGGATGTTATACCAAAGCTGGCCACTGTCCCCGGCACCTTGGTGGAAGCAATATAAATTGTTCCCAAAAACGACTGCTGACGGCCCAGCTGATAGGGTCGTGTCAGGGACTTCTTGTTCGCCTTCCCAGTGGTCCCCATCTAAAACATTATACCAAAGACTGCCACTATCACGGCTGCCTTGGTGGAAGCAATAGATTTTGTTGTTGAAAACGACGGCTGATGGCCCGGCTAATAAGCTTGTTCCAGGGACTTGCTTATCGCCTTCCCAGAGGCTCCCATCAAAAACATTATACCAGAGCTCGCCATTATCACCGCTGCCTTGGTGAAAACAATAGATCTTGTTGTCAAAAACCACGGCTGATGGCCCGGCTGATAGGGTTGTTCCAGGGACCTGTTGTTTATTTTCCCAGTACTGCCCATTCGAAACTGCATACCAAAGTTCGCCAGAGTCATTGCCACCTTGGAAGAAGCAGTACATCTTATTGCCTAGAGCAACAGCAGATGGGGAGGCTGTCATGACAGCCATGATGAGAGTGATTTCCAATATGAAGAAAATTTTGATTAGGTCAAATCTTTAACTAGCCAGCCGTACAAGCTCTGCGTCGGATGGCAAGGGTCAATGAGATTGAGGCTTGGAATGGTTTTCAACTCAGTGTAACAATAGTCTTTGGTGTGTAAAAGGCCCTTGGTTTTCGTTTGTCCTTGGTGGGCTCAAGAGACCCTTTTATATTAAGAGTCGGTTAGTCTCTTGCTGACCAACCTCCTGAGGCCTTAGGCCTTTGCCCAGGCATCGTTGAGCTCGCGGTTCAATCCGTGCTTTTGTTATTGTATGACGATGCCGTGCGACATGCGATATAGTACATCTCTTTTATTCAATATGTGTCCTTGCAACACAAAGCTGGCCGAGCTTTACAGTGGTAATTCAATGCTACGCCAGTGGTCAACAAGCAGTGCGGGCACCTATCATAGAGGTAAACAGAGAGACAAGCTGCATCACGATGGCCTAGCTGACACGTGGATACTACTAGGCTTCTGACTGGTGAAGCGAACCTTGACAGTTATGCAGCAGGTCAAATAGAGACATAGCATGACCGGCAGCAGCAACCACTATTCACGATAGGCTCTAGGATGCGCTATTAAGCATGACAACACGATATCTGGTTGACTTGTCACCTGCATCACGCTGCATGCCAGCCGCCAGCACAACCCTACCCTGACATTGCTTCTGGCGTTGCAGACTGCTTATTTTTTCTTTTGTCTCTCCATTGCACTGGAGTTGGGGATCGCACAACTTCCCGATATGTCAGTCACTGCCAAAAACTTGACTCGACCACGCCCAGGTTCCTACATCAAGCTTGCTACTGCTCACCTTGTGACCAGGAGATGCCGAAGACGTGATGTTGGTAACATGCCGATATCTGTACCTGCACCAGTGTATTCATCGCATCGCTATACTTTCTGTGTCATTCTCATGGCACCTCACAGTCCTGTGGCCTAGTACAGCTTGATCACCGTGGACAACTGTTGGTTAGTAATAGTACATGGTGTCGCTCCCAATACCACCTTTCAGTCTATTTTCCTCGCATCGGTAAGGCCTAGCCTTCATAGGCTATCCGTGAAAGAGGGGGGAACAAAAAGAGTAATGCTTCTCATTGCTTCTGCGGACGCTTTGTAACTGGGCGCTAGGTTTCCGCTAGGCGCACAATCTATTCTTCCTTTTGGGCAGTGCTTCGCTTGCTCTAGTGCTCCCTGCACGCTAGATAGCTTACGGGCTCACTTGCTTAGAATTCCCAAACCTGCAGAACTCATAATGCAGTAGCCGGCATGTGCAGATGGGAACCCCGGAGTAGGGTGGCGGGAGGTTGTAGGCTCGCAGCCAACGACCGCCATGATTGGTACAGCCAATTGGAATTCGGAGGTGGCTTCATACCTCAGGTAATACGCAATCCCTGTCTGTTCAAGCAATTTTTCGCATTCGCGTACCAGCTGAACCCGGAAGTAAAGTAAGAACCGCAGATACATGAAACTGCTGAGTAAAATCCGATGCCGCTATAACTATAAGTCACACCAACTTCTATGGTCGGTCCTGACACTCTAGTTACACCAGACGGCAGGATACTCAAGCATCTACATCCGGTTGGCCAGAAGCAAGGAACAGGCTATCACACGGCAGAGACTCGCACTTGCAGGGCCTGGCCAAGGCTCGATGGGCAGGGCTGGCCATATTCATTGCATTGAAACACAGTGTGGCTAACAGACAGACAGCCGGGAGGCCGAGTACGGCTGCAGGACAGCTTCGTCATGGCCACCGGCCGTCTGTTACGTTGTAGCATGTTTCAAGCTTTTGTCTTGGTACCTGACTTGTGTTTAAGATACCTTCATCTGCCCAAGGGCCTACATGCGGTATGTAAACTTAAGCCCAATTGCGAGGTATCTCTCCATGTTGGACCTGGCATTGTATTGACACACAAGGAGGGTATGTTTTGCTAACCATCCATCAATGTCATCGAAGTGACCCGTGGGCCCCGCAATGAAGTGGAGTCAACCCTGGTCCTGGCGGTGGCTCGGGCCTGTCTCCCGCTGTGGGGCAATGCAAACGCCACAAGACCGGGGATGCAAGTTGACATGGACGTTTGATACATCCTACCAGTCAAGTTGAGACGTCTTCATGATGTGTTTTGGTCTTGTATGTAGGGAGATTTTCAGTACGGTATAAGAGAGCCAGGGCCGGGAAAAAAAGTACCGATAATTCAGCAGGGTAACTGGGCGTGGAAGGGTTGGTTCATATATCTGCTAAGTTCATAATCGCAATCTTATAAAATGGAAAATCATGATAAATGGAGGCATTTTAGGGCCTCAAATAATAGCTTTATTAATGAAAATAATAGCGATGACGACGATGAAGTCTGACAAAGCATCACGCGAGGCATTTTTCCTTGCCGTGGAAGGCGGCCTCGTCCCTCTCATGGATCTCTTCAGCGATGGCTGGATCAACGACGAAGACGCTGAAGGATACTCGCCGCTGCTATGAGCGGCCAAGAAAGGCCGCGAAGACGCGGTGCAGTGGCTCCTGGAGAGAGGCACAAACTCGGGGGCTACGACACCAGATCAGTCCACGGCACTTCACCTGTTGTGGAGGATCGGGCGGACTAACATGGCGAGGAATTTTGTCACTCACGGTATCCCAGCCAACACATGCAACAAGCTCGGGTACAGCCCTATCAAATACGCAGCGGAGGGCGGCTTCAACGACCTGGTTCGCCTGCTGACTAAAGAGTATGCGGTACACGTAAATCACATGGAAGCACAGGGAACAACTACAGCGCTCCACCTAGCGGCAAAATATGGACATTCTTCGACCTGTAGGATATTACTCGGCAAGGGTGGAAATATCGAGACTTTGGACACTGAATGTGAAACCCCTGTGAGCTTAGCAAGGAAATATTGAGGGATCAACAGAAAATGTCTCACCAGACTCTGACAGTAAAAAATCACAGCAAATGACGAGCACAAACAGCCCGGACGGACAGTATCATATCTATTACACCTGGCGGCTTAGCTTGGCGACTTTAGCACGGCATAGTTGCTACTCGGGTACAAGAAGTATATAAACCGCCATGCCTACAGGGCAGCTTTGAACGAAACGGCCTACTCTGGGCACTTGGAAATCATGAGACTGCTGCTTGAAAATCGGCAAGTGACAGACAGGGACATTGTACGCGCAGATGGGAGCACAGCCTTGCACTGGGCGAGCCGAAACGGGCATTGCGATATTATTCCGCTTCGTCTGAGCACAGGACTCGTCGATGTCAACATGCCAGACGCAGCTGGGAAGAGAGCGCTTCACTCGGCTGCAGCCAAGGGCCACGTTGGGGTGGTTCACATCCTCTTGGATCAAGGGTCCAGGGCAGACTTGGAAAGCACATGCGGCGATTACGCCATCCACGATGCTTCGGCGAATGGGCATGTTGACGTGGTCGAAGCCCTGGCAGGGAAGATGAGTGACATTCTGATAACAGGCAGCAAGGGCACGACTTTGACGCTTGCAGTCGTGAACCAGCACTCTTCTGTGGTCAAGTTCATCCTCCGTTATGCGAGAACGCGGGTGATCCGGGTGAGTCGGCTGAGTCGCCTGCTCTACAAGGCCGTCGAGAATGGCGACGTGGTAACTCTCGATATGCTGCTCCGGCACGCAGACGAAACGAATCCACCAGAATCGACGACTTTCCGCTACGGGAGGCTGCTGCGGCCGGTCGCAACGCCGAGCAGATGCTCAGTTTGCTGCTAGCGATGGTTTCAGCCAACACCGAGATAACACGGCTGCTCCTGTCCGCAGGGGCCGATGTGAATATCAGTTGCGACAATCACGCGACGCCCGTCGTTTTCGCAGCCGAGCAAGGCAGTACGGAATGCGTTCGGCTGCTCTTACTAGCTGGTGTTGACAGCACGGCCGTGAACGAGTTTGGCATGAGGGCGCTGCATGACGCGGCACAAGACGGCTATTGTTACACGGATGTCACGTTGCCATAAAGGCACGGGCCGTACCTTGAACATGACGATAGTTACACAAGGGCTCGAGACCTAACGGGGGCCTCAGGCACCCAGGACAGCCCTTTAACCGCCTCTTGATATAAATAAGGGTCATCTGCCCCTCGAGGCCTTGAGGAAAACTAAGGACCTTTGATATCAAAGCGAATTATTAGCTGAATATCGAACATTGTTCCAAGCCCTATAATTATAGCCCTTGTCACAAATAACAGTCTTCCCTTAAAGGTATAAATCCTTCCATCCTTAGCTAGCAAGCAACCAGCCTCTGCTAAATCAATAAGGATGTATCAGACCTCTTTCTAGCAAGCAACTAGCCTCTGCTAAAATCACAAGGAGGTCATAGGAGCATTTTCGCGCTGGTAGTCAGACCCCCTGACACTAGGTCCTGCGGATCATCATCATCAACATCATCAACATCATCATCATGACCCGAATACTAGCTCGAGGTCGAGCTAGAAGAAGGGGGAAGCTTGTGTCACACGGAAATGGCGTTGGTTACACAAGGGCTACGGTCACGGGATTAGGGCAGAAGGTCCTCACCGACTTCTTGTATAAATAGACGGCTTCGGTCCCTCAAGGCCTTGAGGAAAACCAAGGACCTTTGATACCAAAGACTGTTATTAGATGAATTGAGTAAATTGCTCCAAGCCCTCTACTGAGCCCTTGTCACAGCCATGTTGAATGCGTCCGGTTGCGGCTCGAGCACGGGGCCGACTTGAACCGCAAGAAGGCCAACGGTGCTGCACCTCTTCACATGGCAGTCCGCAATGGCCATGAGGACATCGTGACTTTGCTTCTCGACCGAGCTGCCCGATTCGACTTTGAGAGCCACATTTCGGCCGCGGTGCTCGTCTGGACGCTGCAGAGAGGCCATCAGAGCATCGTCGACGTGTTTGTCCGCCGCGCCCTGGCCCAAGAAAACGGGACCTGGCTCCGGAACCCGGGGTTTCTCACGAGATATTGGCAAGAACAATCAGTCCTATTCTATTTTCTCAAGTGCGGTATCAGCTTGGAGCCTTGCGACATGCTATATGAAGCCGCCAGGGAGGGAGATGATGACGTCGTGAACTTGTTGCTGTACCGAGGGTGGGACATCAACTTATCAATTCCGGACCTCGGCACAGCTCTGTATGGTGCTGTGGAAGGGAAGAGACGCAAAACCGTTGACTTGCTGCTCCAGAGAAATGCCGACGTGAACATGCCCGGCGGATTCTGTGGCAGCCCGCTGGCTGCAGCAATCCATGGTCGGAACCTTGACATCGTGGCCAAGTTGCTTGAGCATGGGGCAAGAGTAGATACTGTCTACAAGGGCGAGACACCTTTGCTACTCGCCGTCAAGCAGGGCGACCGCAATGTCGTGGACCGTCTCCTCGAGCACAAGGCCGACATCAAGGCACGCACCGCGCTTGGGAGCTGTATCTTGTCCGAGGCCATTTTCCGGAACGACAGCGACATGGCCTTACACCTACTGCGCAAGAACGTCTCCATTGATCAAGTGAACTCGGTTGACTGGACACCGCTCACGGTGGCCGTAATGCAACGAGACATGGAGTTGGTAAAGGCGCTGCTTCTCCGCGAGACCCAGGCCAACACCCTCGATGGTCAGGGCACCACGCCCCTTACCATGGCGGTCAGAGGCAACCAGCTCGCTATTGTCAAGTGCTTGCTTGAGAGCGGCAGAGCAGATCCCACCATCTCGGACTGTCGAGCGCGGACGCCACTGAGCTGGGCATGTCGCGAGCAAAACAAAGCCATATTTGACCTCTTAAAGCTGGTACTTGGCAAAAATTGTGACGCTCTTGACCAATACGGCCGTGCTCTGAATGCCGCTGCCGCCGCACCCTTTAACAATGACAACTTCGAGGAGCTTGTGCGTATCAACAAGATCGACTGGATCGTATCGGTTTTGCCACCGGAGCGGCTCTCGGAATCTTCGTGGCGGGGCGGGAAAATAGAACGGCAGCATAAAGAGAAACATTCTTGTCACCGGCGAAGGATCGTTACAGCTGACTGTGCAGACATTGTCTGATCTTCTTCGCCACGACCTTAATGCCACCATGTAGGCCGGCATCGTCTCGCAAAACCAGCAAAATTAGCTAACTGCAAGCCCATAGCTTCATTCTTAACAATGATGGTTATACCGTCGAGTGTCTCATCCACGACATGGACGCGTCATATAAGAAAGTCCCAGTATGGGAGTATAAAAACCTCTGCGCACTTTTCGGACCCCCCTTTGAATCTAGATATTATCGGGTCGAAACTGGAGATGAACTCTTGGCGATCCTATCTGATTCGCAATTCAACTTGAATGATTGTACCCAGGTAATTATTTAGAGACGTTGACTCGCATGTTTCGGGTTTTTGGCTGACTTTGGCAGGTTGTCGAGTTGATTCTGCACAAGCATGACGCACCATTGTCGGTGAAATTGGCGTCTTCTGCGAAAAAAACCAGAGAAACGATGGAGCGCCTGGAAGTGCTTAGAATGGCTATGGAAGTATGAGGTAACCGATTCACCTGATGAGGCCTTCAAATCTGGCACAGGCACAACAATCAACAGGAAACGCCCGGCATCCAGAGACCTTTAGCACCGGCAGGGAGCTGATGATGATCGGCACAGGCGTAGTCCGAACCCTACGCTGTCGCCTATCCGAGTGCAAGTTTTCGTGTTTCAGGGAGACAAGAGCCTCCCAGACACGGCATCTCCGAGTTCTAGGATGCCGAATGTACCAGTACCGTCCACTGCACCAACCCCGCGGATTGATGACACGACTTTGGACTTGAACCAGCAAGAAGATAACGAGTCTTCTGGCGCTGACATCGACTTGGGAGAATGGCAATACGAATGACGTTAGCCTGACTTTTGAAACTGGCTTATATTACCTGACTGTTATAGATGGTTGCTTTGTAAAGAGAATGCTTCCATGTCTCGTGTAAGGCAGCAAAGACCGAGTCGGTATTTCTGCTAGCTCGTATAGTCTGGTGCTTTCAATGTTGATGACATGTACCCCTGCTAGCGTGCTCATGGGATAGACTTCAAATGTTGACGTCCAAAAACAGACAGCATAGCGAACCACTCAGGGGTCCGGTCGGACTGTGGAGTGGTATTAATGCAACTCGGGTTAATGTCAGCCGAGGGATCGGCTATCAGACGATACTAAGCCTTGCATAGTTGGGCTGATTTAATACCTAGTAGTAACATGCCCTTTCCATACATATGTAGCTTCACAAAGAGTATTATGCATTTATTTAAGCATATTCTATGCATCTGCTACCAGACAGGACACGTCAAGCACAGGTATCCTAGGACAAGTCATGATACAGAGCAGGCATGCCCCCTGTACTCGCCTACCTAACTACTTAAGTAGCCTATTGCTCGGAGGTAGTTGGTTACCCGGTTTGCCGTTGGACGGAAGCTAAAAAAATGAGATTGTAACGTAGGGACTTGGGTATAACCGAACAGATATTTATTAATATTGTTCTCGGAGTATTATATTTGGATAATATCCAATCAATCTTTCAATGTTAGCCACGTGCCTTAATTCGGACCCGAACAAGCCGAAAATTAAATTGACCGCCCACGTGCGCAAGGGTGCTAGCATCAGCTCACGATTAAACTGCCGTGACTCCGTGAATAGTTCGCAGATTGCGTCAAGTGCGCTCTTCCTGATGTATCCCAGAACTACCGATTGGCCACTGCCTGGGCCGCCACGGTCTAGTCCCTGCAGCATGTGGGAGCCGACACGGGCCAAAGAGACCGGATATCTGGAACGATTACAATCAATTGATAGCATTACGTAGTAACCAGGGCCTAGTATCCTGCGCCTTGGGTATTATCCAACCCACGTCCCGTACTCTCATTATATCAGATCAGTAGTTAGCGGTATTTTATACCAGCTATCCTCAATATCCATGTCTATACCGAATTCTCATTATTCACGAAAGACATGAGTTCATGCAAAGGGAGCCTGCTGAGTTGCATCACACAAATATGACTCATGATACATTTCACGTTGTGATTGTCCTGCCTCTCTCCTGTGAGAAGGGCCGATGCCATTTATCCTGGCCACCTAAGAAAACCAGGATGGCTGGCCAGCGTTTCAAAACTTCTGATACCTATGAGGTTATAACATCCAGCAATCACATGTCAGCCTTCTCAGACATGCTTGAACTGCCCCACTACATGCCGAAGTGTCTGGTACGTCCGTGTTATTTGCGATATTAGATTAATTGACTCTATCCACCCATCGACATGTGGCTTCGCTTGGTTCGCAACGCTATCCTCGTTTGGAAGAGGCTTTAATCGCATTAACAAAACCAATTCAGGTGTAAAAGGCGTCTTCTAATACAGAAAATGAATAGACTCTGGCTTTTTATCAAGTCAAGTAAAAAGAAAGAAAAAATAGGCCAGATGCAAGACGTCTAGTAACACTGTATTTTGGCCGTACCTGGGCCAGGGAACCTTGATCTACCAAGCGACAAACCATGAACGCATTGTAATGCGTTAGCTCTGGTTCTTTTGTAACTAAGCTAGTGACCTAGACAATAATATTATGTGATGTCTCTTGGCCAGTCTGTCATGTAGATTTCAAGTCCTTGGCACATCGACCCAGGAATCTAAGAGCAACAATAGCGACGAGTACTGTACATAGCTACAAAACTTATACACAGCCAGGATTCCCTATCCATGCGTTATGCGCATTGTTCAGACCAATTTTACTTTCATGTACAGCTTCCGAGATTTCCGAGATGGGCTTTTGGCATTGTATCATGAAATGGCAAGATAAAGCCAAGAAAGTGGTGCATTGGCAGCCTAGTTCCCCGACAGAGATGCTTCAGTAAAATTATATAAACCACTATTGCCAACATCTATCGCCGCAATGCATCAGACTTGCATACTGTATCAATTTGCCTTACTTGGTGTCTATTCAGAAGACTCCCGTCTTACTTGAGCAGTCTTTACGTTCATTAATCTATCCAACACTCTCACTGCCCAGAAAAGTAGTCTCGCCAAAGATGCCGTGGCTGCCTTGGTCCCCCCTCGGATGCGTGGCGGCATTCTTCGCCGTCCTAGACGTATGCCAGGCGCACAATCCAAAGGACAACCCCGAGTACTACGTTTTCCGTGGAGATGGCAGAGATCCAGACGAAATCCGGGAGGCAGGGGGATTTGTCCCTGACCCGGAGGCGGCGATATACACCAACCCTACCACGTTCAGCCTCGACAATCATGTTAATGGAAGAACGGGTTCGTCGGCTTACGTGTCGACATCAGCAGAGTTTGGACAGGCGGCAAGAAATTTTGCCGGGCCGGGAAACTACGTTTACCGAATCCACGTCACCCCCAACATGATCGACGTAAATGCGGCTCTTGCTGGTGGCCATCCATACCCAAGACAGGAGGAGGCTAGCGCCTTGGGTGGCATTCCATGGACTGCAGTCGAGGGCTGGCTCCAACTTGGCGAGGACCGTGAATTTCCAGAAGACTACGAATTTTTGAACGATGACTCCGCGGCCAGGCTTACAGGCAGATACGTGGCCGAGTTTGCCGATCAGTTTGAGCCTAACCGGGCATATGACGACCGCGGACTCGGAGGGCCTGCTAGGCTAACTGGAACCAATCCTCAAGTCGCTTTGTTGGCAGCTCAGCTCCCAGATGAAGCGCGACTAATAAATGCGGCGACTACCTTTATGAACAACTATGCCTTGGCTATCGGGTGGACGGAGAACCAGGCGTTCCCCTATACTCCCCCAACGCCACCACTGAGCACTGAACCGGTAGCTTTACCGGAGGCTGACGTTGTGAGTATTCCAGAGGCTGAAAGGGAGGACTTGGCAGAGGGCCGATTCGATAACCTCCAATGCCCGGCACTCGCTGTCGCATTGGGAGTCACACTTCTCCAACCCAAGGGGCCCAACTCGAAGAGATACGTGCTGAAATCTCGAGATGACAAGAAGGGTATTTGCCCTTTATTTCCCACAAAGTGTCATGTATTGCCCTTTATTGCTAACATTCCACCCTCGGCATATCAGAACAATGTGAACAGCTCCGAGATATTGTTAGTCGGCTAACGTCCAGGAAAAAGCAAACAAAGCCAGCAGGTAAGTGAAACACGACCGAATAGAAAAGAATTTCTAGACACAAGAACATGTTGCCTAACTGCCACAGGCAAGAAAACCACTGTTGATCTTTGCGGAAATGGTCCTCTCAACCCTCCTTGTACTACGGTTGAAGCCTTTGACGACAAGTGCGGTAGGTTTCGCCTTGATTTATACCGTCCTAATTTCCATCAACTAACACGCTGGATTCAAGTCGCCATACCGCAGGGCTACCAGAACACACTATCTGGCGTAAAGGCACATGAGGCTACTAGTATCTGCCGCTTTTATCTGTAAGCCCTCGTTTCTACTAGCTTGGCTACACGGAGACTGACGTGATTCAAAAACATTTCAGAGAGCCCGACTGCAAGGGTAGGTACTTCGAAGCTGATGGCCAAGTTGTCGACCTCTCCACGGCGCGTCCCGACTTTAATGATAAGGTTGCTTCCCTTATCTGCGACACGCCAAAACCACACCCGGCACTTAAGCGCTGGCAATGGTCGTCAAGGAGCCATTACAGATACTGCACTCGTTTGGACAAGGTGTCTCTTGACTTTAAGCTGGCCAATAACGATGGATCCGGGACGTACGACAAGATCAAGCTGGCTATTGATGACGCCGGACAAAAGGTGCACGTCATCACCGAAGGTCCCTCGCCTGGTTATAAGGTCTCGCAGGACTTTAATCTGAGGGACATGTTTGGCATGGATACCGTCGCTCTGAGCCAAATTAAAAGACTCCGCCTTCTGGATGAGCTGACGGACAGGACGTTTGGAGGAGACGCGTGGGAGCTCCTTGGTAAAAAAAGAATCACCCCACGCGGTCTTGGTGTTTTCAAACTGAAAGCTAATTCCACTCTAGGACTCAAGCTCAAGGCACGGTGCGCCGGCTCGGGAATCAACATCGCAATGGAGAAATTCTCCAACCTTAACAAGGGATTGCAGGCCAAGCCTACTGAGCCAGGACGGTTCCAGTACAACAGGGACTGGGAGGTCTGGGCCGACGATATCAAACCCCAAGACTGGGTTGCCAAGCCCCTATGCAGCCACTTTCAACGCATGAGCGTCAATCTGCACGTCGCTGATGCAAACTGGGCGGGAACTAACAACGACATCTACGCCAAGGTGGGCGAGGGGAGCTTTTTGATCGCTCGCCATCCTTCTCGCAGGGAAGTTTTCACCACCGACATCGACGTCGACAAGGCCTACAAGACGAAGCACGTTCCCGTCACGAATGTTGCGTCTGTTGGGATTGAGAGCAAGGGTGGCAATGACGCGGCGTTGCCTGAAAGTAAGAAAGAAACCATGGCCTTGTCTAAACGAGAAGCGACTGACACATTTTTTTTAGTGGTGACGGTGTACGGAGTCTGCTCTACCACGTCTACAGTGCTCTCTGTTAAGCAGGAAATCACCGACTGGCTCTATGACGGTCAGACTATGACTATTAAGCTACCTCCTGAGAACTGGGTCAGGGCTTAGGGGTATTTGAGACGGGGGGCGTCCCTGCTGTGAGGCCGTCATAATCTGATCAGACGCAAGTCTGTTGAAGGATATAGGGTTCCTCTAACGGATGGTCGTCTGCTCGCAACAGTACAAAGGATGTAGTGTTAGATACAAGGATCAAGCCAGGATATACTTCTACTAGGCGAAACGCCTTCTGATCGTCGTCCTGTTACTGTTGGATCACCTTTAGGAAGACTGATTTATTAAAGTGTTTATATATATTCTTACTTTTAAATTCTACTTCTTATACCTTTTGATTATAATATAGCGGCTTTTATAGTAAAAGTAGTAGTTAAAAAAAGTTATTAACCAAAAGGATATTAAGACTACTAAAACACTTTTTATTCCTAGTAAGAAATATATTATATAAATAATTATTAATCTAAGAAAGCTATTATAATCCCACTATGCTCTTTTTATTAATAATTAGGTACTTAATATATTTTACCTTTTTTAGACTTAGGTTATATTAATAGGTAATAAGAGCCTAAAGTACTTATTAATTAAGAGGTATACTAACAAGTGTAAAGTAGTACATAATATTTAATTTCCTATTATACTCATTAGTATAGTATACTAAATAAGTATTCCTTTCCTTACAATTATAGCTTAGAGGTATATAAAAGGCAAATTAATAAGGTATAACTTCCTAGGCTACTTTTACTATTCCTGGTAATTGTCCTATTCATGAGCCAAAGGGGCTTTTTCGCACGAGATACAAGATATCCTTTTTATTTCCTCTATTCTGAGTGAGCTTTTTGTTCTTTCAGCCATTTGGCACCATGAGAGAAGTGTAGGCCATGCCACAATCGGTTATTTTCCCCGTGCGGGCGTCCATACTATGTCGTCCTACGACTGTTGATGCTGGTTTGGAACTTGACCGACTTGTGAGACATGGCTGTCTCGGCAGGTGCTGAAATGTCATGCAAAGGCGGAAATCCTTAGTTGCACCCCAATGTGACGTCGTTCCATTGCGCTCTCCTTATCAAATACAAATCCCCGCATAAGCTGGGGAGTTCAAACCACTGGGAGAGCCAAGCTCTTTCCTCTCGTGGTTGATTTGTGTCGCGGTTCTTGTTTTCAGCAAGGCGCAATTGAGACATAGTAATCATCGGTAGCTCACATTCAAAATGAGCCCCTCTCTCCAAGACATGAGAGGCGAGTCAAGATAAGTCAACCAGGATAATCCAATGTTACACGGAGGTCACGTTATAGTAAAGGCCCGGGCCGACCCTCGTACCCGACGATAGTTACACAAGGGCTCGAGACCCAGCTGAGGCCTTAGGGCTCCGGGCTCGCCTCACCTCAGCTTGATATACAGAAGGGTTAATTGTCCTTTAAGACCTTAGGAAATCATAGATGCTTGATATCAAAGCGACTATTATCTAAATACGAATTCGTTTCAAGGCCTTATAACCAAGCCCTTGTCACACCCCAAGGTCGGGAACCTCAGCAGGCAGACAGCGTTTGTTGCACGGAAAAGGCCCAACGCATCGTGACGCCCAAGGAAGGGGCTTCACCGATACGGGACTTATTTGTTACACGACTTGAACACGTGTCCAGGCAAGAGCCCTAGGCCCGGGCGTCCCTTTTATGTATATATGGTGGTCACCTCTCCCTTACTTCCTCTTAGCAACTCGGGACCTTTGACATCCTACGAGGTTATTATTGAATTGAACCCTTACGTTCCAAACCCTCTAATCGAGCCCTTGTCACAGGGTTGCTGCTTGTGTGGGCTGAAACGCCTGTATTTCCTACCCGTGAAACTCACGCAAGTTGATGGCAAACGAAGCCCTGTACACGTATATATATGTAATTGGTCGTTGGTGGACAGCGCTTAGCACCTCTGTTTCACAAAGAATGCGGCGTCATCACGCCACGACGAAGGTCACGTCAGGACCGCCCGTCAACGCACCGATCAGCAAGCCCCGCTGCACTGATAAACGGCGAGCAGACATGGAGTATCTGGTATGTCTTATTTCGGCGAGTGTCAGCACACCGGGCTGGCTGAAGCAATGGTGGTGTGGAGCGGTTTCTGCATGTCTGGTGCAGTCAGACGAAGAATATCCAAGCACCAGACAGGTATGGCCGAAACATACAGGGTGACTGTCACAAAGGCTGCCTACTACTGAATACACACAGCTGTACTCCGTAGTTTTCGCCCTACAAGTTGTTCGCTAGCTGCAAGGTAACCGTGACATCAAAAGCCACCACCAATTGGACCAGCTGAATGCCCAACCTCTTTCCGAACTTCCCCTTGAAGGTCTCTTTGCCACCTGATTTTAAAGGTGTATGCATGTAGCGACCGGAGGTTCCGAAGAGGTGGACCGGGCGAGGGTTATATTGGTATGAATGCTGGCATATTTGATCTAGGCCATGCCAGACGCACCATCCAGGGCGACATAGCAGCAGCGCCTCAATATTTAGTTGCTTACTATGTTCACTACAATCTCAGAACACACTCGCCTAAACAACGCGACCTAGCACTACTGTTCTAAACGAGCTGGGGTCCAAAGTCGAATGATTGGAACACCACTTCGTTCAAAGGGCCGGACAACGGGACCTGTGGCGGGCGTTGTACTTCACCGGATAGATAGCCATTGACAGCACGCTTGGGATGATTGGTTCCTTCCCGCACCGTTGGAACAGGGTTCGGTCTCAGGTTGGACGGCAGAACTGTCGAACGACAGGCGCGGGTGTCACGCACAATGCCGATGGTCTAGGTAGGACACGTCATAGGTAGGAAATGGGTAATCCATCCAATAATATTCCCTGATTTAGGTACGATGATTGAAACAGAATAGGCCTAATGTCAAATCTTGCATGTTCCGCTGCTGTCTTAGAATACCGTTGCGGCATGTGACACAGCCTCCAAAACTTCCCTATTCGACATCATGCGTGATAGTGTGTGCCACTACAGTCTTTTTTGATATATCTAGACTGTCATGTAAGCACCTCAAGATTGGTTGACATGTCTGAGCAATGGGTACAACGAAAGTGTACGCGATGCGCAGGACTAGCCACCGTCGTGCTCCGGAGTCGAAAGAAACATCAAACAGCAAGTTGCGAGCTATTTTCTCACACGCTTAGTCTTTGTTTCCGACTACACGATGGAGACAAAAAGGGGTGACTATGCTGGTAGGCGTTCTCTCTTGCGTGAAGACTCAAAGAAATGTGAAAAGCCTAACCATGTCATGTGTGAGCAGTCTGTGACCTATGCCGGGCCAAGAAGATACGGTGCGGGAGAGAAAAACCATCTTGCGCAAATTGCTCCCGTCTCGGTCAGGTTTGCGAGTGGTCTGGCCAGGGCAAAAAGTGTAACCAAACCGCTCTTCTGTAAGTGGCGCTTGTTCTTCTCTTTCCTCCAGCTCTCATCTCACAATCTGTAGGAGACAAACAATCTTGGGACTCAGTTGTCGCATTCAGACCTTAGAGGTAATCCCAGCACCCGACGGGGACGCCTCTCAAGTCTCTTTTGCTAATACTTGTTTCAAGTCTTCTATGCTGGACAATGAGAAAACACCAAAGGGGCTTTGCAGTGTGGCATTACCTGCTTCGTTTGGCAGTGATGCGAGACAATCGAGCCGTACAAGGCCTTCTGGCATGCAATCGCGAGACGTGGTAGTCAATCATGGATTCACCAAACCCCAGGGGACATTTCTTACAATACCCAGTCAAGGATTAGGTGAAAAGTTATTCGGTCCCACGTCATTGGAGTCTCTGATGCTCACCTTCAAGGACACGCTCGCGGATGGTCTTGATCCTGAGACGACGCCGGCATTAAAGGAATGCAGTGATTTGGCCCTGTGCGATGTTAGTCTTCCCATGAACCAGCGAGAAGATCTTCCTACCGATGAGTCGTTGCCCACGCCACCTCCGTCAGCAATATTGAACGCCATGATTGAGCCGTATTTTGCTACCGTCAATGCTCACTTTCCCATTTGGACAAAACGGCAGATTGAGGAAATGGCTGCCACCTTGGAACAATCTACATCCACCGAACGTGACGCGGCAACCATGATTTGCTGTAACAACCTGATTCTCATGACGCTGACTGCAAATTCGCTACGCTCTCGATGGGGAAAACCCTTGCAAACTAAGCATAGACGCAGGCATTTGTCCATCGACTCCGACATCACTGCAGGTTTCCTCATGAACGCGAAGCGAGCCATCAAACACGTTGAGCTACTGCTCTCGCCTTGTCTTGTCAATGTCCAAGCGCTTTTGTCCTTGGTAAGTTGGAGTCAGTCCATGCAAACGCCGACCGCATCACTAATAGAGATGAAAATACGTAAAGTGCATAGTGGCACAAGAGCATCTCTCCTTATATCTCGTCGAGGCGATATTTTCTCTGGCTGCGCAGTGCGCAAAGTCCACGGGTATTCATCAATGGGAGTACTTTCGTGGTCATTTCAATGAACAAGCAGCCCAGGAGAGACGAAGCGTCTCCTACTGCTTATACATTCTCGATAAGACGGTTTGCTGGACAACTGGCACATCTCCTAGCATACCAGCGTCCGATTTACTCTTGGACTATACGTTGGCGCCAGATGATGGCGGTACGATGGCCTATCTGTTTGCAAGAACAGAGTTGGCTGTCATTGAGGAGATGATTTACTTGAGAGTGTACTCCAACCAGGTCGAGGTGCGAACTGATGACCAAGTTCGCCAGGTCGCGGCCAAGATCTCTCAGAGACTTCAAGACTGGCTGGTTAGCTGGCGCATCCACTTGAATGAGGTGGAAAGTCATCAGAAACAACCCGTCTGGAAAGCCAAGCTAGCGGTCGACTTTCTCTGTGTGCAGTTGCTGCTCCTCTGGCCCTACGAGAGCCATCCAGACGCACTATTCCATCAGCAGACACACATCGCCAGGCGATGCATGAGGCTTGTTCTGCACCTCTGGCAGTCTACCCAAGAAGGAGGGCTTCATGTAGCCATCGCACGGTCAGTAGTGTACAATACCCAGGTTCCTCGCCGTTTGCTTGTCCTTGTCACCAACTGGTTCAACTGGAAGCAAAATGCTGACTTTTGTAAATTCTCATGTAGCCTTGTTGCGTCTCATCCACCACTTTATCTGCATGCTATCTATATGCAAGGTGCAAGGGGCAGGGGGCAAGAATTTGACCAAGATTTGCTGCGGGATTACACCGAAATGCTTGAAGTCATAGCCGACTCCCAGGGAGAAAACTGCTACAACAGACGCCTGTGCCAAATTTCGCGTTTTCTGATGCGAGTAAAAACTACTCAAAATACGCCAAATAAGCGGCAGAAGCTCAACCCGCGTGCAACAAGCGCAACGTCGATTCCATCTCCCCAGTCTGGGAGTAGTCTCTCGAATGGCTCGCCAATACAAGTACATTCTCCCAGTCGAACGTCTCGATTCATGGCGCTTGAGCGGCACAATCAGGAAGGTGGCATTTCAGCTGGGGGCTTGGACGACTCACTCAACCTCTTGAGTCCCTCAGAACAAAGCAACATGGGACAATCTCAACCTCTGGCCGACGAGCTGGAGACTGCCACTAGTTATACAAGTGATTTCTTGGGACAATACGATGCCGTAGACTTCGATTCAAGGGCGGCAGATGAGGAGTTTGGCGTCTGCGACAACTTGTGGTTGCAACAAGGGGGGTTGGATCAGCCGTCAACATCACCTCCAGCGCGGTATGCAGTCGGAGCCGACTGGGGTATGACGGAGTTTCCCCCATTCCAAAGATGACGAAAATTATATTTTTTAGCTTTCTGGGGAGACGCGATGCACTAAAACCGGCGCATCAGCATTTATCTTGCAACTACGTCACCCTCCGCGTCCTCTGTCAACATAGAGATCGGCGCTTAAAACATGTTTGAGAAATAAGCCACTCTTTGCCATTTTTCTTCTGAATAATAGCTCTCATGATGCAGTGTTCTAATTTAATGCTAGATTAATTGACCGTTCTTTGCACTGTTGCTTCGACTCATAAAACCTTGTGTTGTGCATAAAAAGTCAACTCATTGAACCCATTTCCAAATAGTTCCCCAGTTACTCCTAGAGCTTCTTTGCCACTGCCATGTGAAAACCCTCGCCCATATGCCCCTCAGGCCCTCAAGCGCCAGCAGCAGCCATCAAGGCGTAGATTTTCTGAGCGGCTCTGGGCGTCTTTCCCTTGACCTCCCCCGACTCCTCAATGCCAATCATCTCTTGTGCCCATTCACATATGGTGCTGGCAAGAAACTCGACCTCGGCCTCCGTGTTGGCGCTGTGAACCATGATCCGAATCCTGCTCTGGCCCTTTGGAACCGTGGGGTAGTCAATGGGGACGGCCGAAATTCCCGCCAAGTGCAGATGGAATACGAGCCACCAGTTATACCGTTGCCGTGTCCAGAGGGGTACAATGTGCGTCTGGAACTCGCGTCCTTCCCAATCGTCGACCAGAGGGATGGCCAGAATCCCCATCTCGCTGGCTTTTTCCCACACAGGGTTCGACGTGATGGTTTCGAAAAAGTGCTTCACGAGATGCTGGATGCTGTTTTGTAACTAAAGACACATTGTTAACGGCTACTGACATAAGTTGAGACGCTGGGTAACAGCCAGGTCGAAACTCGGAATAGATGGTCTTCATCGTCAAATACTTTACCTTTGTCGTTTCTCCGTTGCGCATCAAGTTGTAGGCTGCTCGAATACATGCAACCGAAGGAAAGGAAGGGCCAGTGGTGTAGATGACGGAGCGGGCAAAGTTGAGCAGAGCCGTTCGAACCGTTCCGTTGCTCAAAATGGCGGCTTTATAAACACAGAGGATCAGCATTTATGCCCATATACAGAAACGGAAGATGAATTGTAACATGGTACCTCCTGTTGAGGCCAAAGCCTTTCCATATGTATGGAGTCGAATGGCAATCTCCTTCTCGAGACCTAAGAGACTGACAAGTCCTACGCCCTTGGGGCCAATTATCCCCGTAGCATGGGCTTCGTCGACAATAAAGGCAAAATTCTTCCTGGGGCACACTTCCCGGGAAATCTCGAGCATCTCGCGTAGAGGGCAAACGTCACCATCCATGCTGTACACGGACTCGACGGATATAAGAACCGTGCGCGAGCCGTCCTTGATCAAGGGCTGTGAGTCCACAAGATCTACTAGCGCATCTCTCAAGGCGTCGACATCGTTATGGCGGAAGGCAACCTTGGTCAAGGCCAGCGAGTGCGTCATGCCGTCATGGACGCTGGCGTGGACGAGCTCGTCGTAGACTATGGCGTCGCCGGGACGTGGGATTGCCGAGTAGATGGCATTGTTAGCCTCGAAACCGGAGCCGACAATGAGTGACATCTCAGCGCCGTGGAAGGCGGCAATTTCCTGCTCAACTTGTTCAATATAATCGTAGTTCCCATCCACCAGGCGCGAACCTCCTGCATAAATGGGGAAGTCGGGGTTACGGCCCAGCTCGTTGAGGAACTCCTTGCGAAGCAGTCCCGTCTTTCCCAGGGACAGAAGATCGTTGGAGCAAAAGTCAACGGCCTTGCCTGACTTCCAGGGACTTTTCAGACCGTTGGTGAACATGCCATGATCGGATCGCCGGAGGTCCAAAGCCTCCTCGAGGTTGCGGTAGAAGGTTGGGGCATCTTTCATCTGGGGCCCCTTGATCTTCTGAGCCTTGATAAAATCCGCCAGAAAATCCATGATTATCGGGCGACGTGTAGTTATGACACAGGCAGTCCTTTGCGAAAATAATAACCACTCATCCAGTGAAGTCGAACACGTCCAACGCAGTAGGAGCCTGAACGAAGGGGCTTGTACAGCTATTAAATTCTTACGTGCAGGGTAATTCTCCTGCCGTCCTCGACTCCCACGGGATCCGGAACCCGGGTTCCACCCAATCGGCCTGGACGCCGATTGGTCAAGTCCGTCCCAGCCCTTTGAAACGGCGTAGATAAGCATTTCATGTTGTATCCGGAAGACAAGTGATGGCCGAGTTCTATCATTTGTCCTTGGAGATTGCTAAAGGCATCCATTAGACTCTCCTTCTCAACCGACAACCCTCAATCTCTCACCTGAGAGCAAAAGAAGGACGTGTGGATCTCTTGATGATGAAGCGACCCGGGGATTTTCGCGGAAAGGCAAGTTTTCTGCTCTGCGGGGGTGTCTGACCTAAAATTTCTCTAATTGAGAGCCCTCAACCAATGCTAACATGATCAGACCGTCTTTGTTACCGGGGGATCTGGGGGATTGGGCAAAGCCATATCCCAGCAGTTAGCAGCCCGAGGTCAGCAGTGCCGATATCCTAAGATGTCAACGGTACTTCTAGGACTAATCAGCAGTCGCAGGGGCCCATATCACAATTTTCTCCCGCAGGCCAGACGCACTTGCCAGGGCCAGAGAGGAGATACTTTCCAAGTGTTTGACTGGGGATCAGGAAGTCAATACCGTCGCCATCGACATGGCGGATGCTTCAAAGGTGTGCCCCCATTCCGCATGGAGGCTCTAATTGAATACATACCTAACAACTAACCACCTGACCGGCAGGTTGACGAAGCATTTAGAAAACAGCCTCGGATTGCTGACGTCTTGTACTGTGTTGCCGGCGGTAACCATGCTGAGAACGGGTTTCTCGTTGATATTAATGCACAGGCTCTTGAAAGTTGCATGCGGAACAACTACTTTACCGCCGTGTACGCAGCCAAGTCTCTGCTCGACATATGGACAGAGGATGATTTGAAAGGACCCATTCATCCCCGCCCTGACCCCAGGATACGTCAGATTGTCTTTGTCACAAGCGCCGCCGCGTTTTTGGGTTCTCCGGGCTCCATTGCTTACACTCGTGAGTATTTCTTTACTACATTAATGACCACGCTTGTGGCTGACGACTTCATCTCCTCCAAGCGGCCAAGTGTGCAACCCGTGCCTTTGCGGATACTCTGCGGTTGGAAGTGCTGCGGTACTGCTGCCCCGAATCGACCTACTCGATCCACTGCGCGTTTCCAGGGGACTTTGTATCCCCTGGATTTGTCCTCGAACAGAAGACCAAGACGAATCTCACAAAGCGCATTCAGGGTCTTGACGGCTACACCATGTCGGAGCTCGAAGCTCGGTTCCCATCTTCGGACAAGATCGCTTCACTCATCACTTCCGCCGTGGACAGGGGCGATTTCATCATCTGTGACGGCTCGCTGGCTGGCTCATTACTCTTCACAGGCATGATTGGGCCGTCACCAAAGAGGGGATTGGGCATTGTTGATTCTTTGCTTTCCGTATTTACCGGGTGTCTTCTCTGGCCGTATCTCAGGTGGAAATGGGAGTCCATGACCCGCAAGGACGGCGAAGAGCACAGAAGAGCTAGGTGAAGGTTGAGGACAAAAGGTTCCGTGTACCTAGCCTCTGATTGCATTGGCCCAGATCCAAAATGGCATTGTCGTTTCATGTTCTATAGCATCGGTAGTCTGTGCTTGGGAGAAGCGGCATTAGTTCACTAATTGTAGAGACACGTTGTGACTTTGAATGACACCACCGCCATCTTCGTCTGATGTCTCAACCCCGCATATGGTACTCTTCGATGCCAAAAAAAATGCAAAGGAAACGGCGGAAGCTCTCGTATCCAAACTGGGCAGATGGTAACTAAGAATTGGGATATTCAGAGATTGACATTATCAACTGAAGTCGCGTAGCTCGTAACAATTCAGCAACTTTATTCACCACCCTGCTACACTGAACACGATCTTTGACAGGTACGATCTAGTAACTTCCAGGTCGAAAAGCCTCAAATTAAGTAACCAGCTCGCTAAACACTATCTGTCTCTCTACCCAGTTACTCGGGCCGAATTAAATCTACAATGGTCTAAAACAATTTGCCAACCGGGTCTTCAACTGGATGACTTTTCGCAAGGTCACCAAGATACTCCATCAGGCCATCCAGATCATCCAGTTCCAAATGCAAAGCCAGCTCGGTGTAATCCTTGGTCCACAACCCAGGTGACCCCCTGGGGTACTGGGACCGGAAACCCAAAAATCGCTGCGCCCTCGGAGACAGCTTCTTGGCAGTCTCTAGGGTGACAATGCTCGGATGCGCCTCGGATGGCGTCAGATAGCCCGCACAAATAGACAGCTGCAATGCCTTTCTCTCCTCTGTGGTTGTATTCGCACCCATGCCGTGCACGACCTTGCCACCCAAGAGGAGGCAGTCGCCCGGGTCCATGATGGCCGGGATCGTCATTTCCTGGTTGCCGCGCTGGTCAAAGGGCCACTTCTGACTCCCTGGGATGACCCGGGTGGCGCCATTGTCCTCCCTGAACGGGCTGAGGGCAATCAGAAAGTTCATCTGGACATCGTCAAAGTCTGGGCCAAGCAAGACGGCAGGAGGGTAGTTGTTCAAGTCTCGATGCAGCTCCTGCGGATCCTGCGGGCCGCCGGCAAACAGAGTTGACCCCGTGGACAGCCAGTAATCGCCGGCGTTGCCTCCCGTGGTGTAGTTGCGGTGGCAGATGGCATGAATTAGGTCGTTCTCGAGGAGGTTCTCGCGAAATACCTTGCTGTGGTTGGCGAGACCGGCAGCGCGCTTCGTTCGGCGGCCGTGAAAGGCTTGAAGCAGCGGGTGGTCCAGCAGAGCGCCACGCCGAGTTTTTTCAATGACTGGTTCGATTTCAGACGTGAATTCGGCTACTTGACCAGGAGTGAGGAGGCCCTTGATGACAAGGGCTCCATCTTCTGCCCACTTTTGGAAGATTTCGTCCAAGGGGGTTTCCGGGGTGACTTCCTGGAGCTTGGTGCGTCCGTTGGGAGTGGAAGTTTGAGGGGTGTCCGTTGGGATGCGCCACATGGTGTCTGCGCTGAAAGGAACTGGTACGATAAATGTTGAAGATAGATATCAAAGTCCTCAGAACAGTGGTAGCTGCCCTGGGGAGAAAGGCAGGCGGTTTTACCTCCGAGTCATTTATATCTGCCTTTGACCCAGTCTGGCCTGTCGGGTTAGGGTTAGGTAGGCAATGTTCGCGCGATCAGGACGGGTTCCGTGTCCGTCCGGTCCGGCGCTAACTCGATTAGCACGAATTTCGGGACCCGGAACCCGGATGAGGATCTCCAAGTCCCATTTGAATCTCGAGTGGAGCGTGCCACATGTGTCAGGACGGCCCGGCTCGCTCTCATAGGTTCCCTAATTCTCTACTTGAACTGTCTCTGTACTAATTCAATTGGGTGGACGGCAGCCGTTCGACGGTATGAGGACGATTTGACTGCTTCTCAACCTCTCAACCTCTCGATGTCTGAGACTTGAACCGAGCGTGAAAATTCGGTGCCCTCGTCGGCTTTCGCTTCCTACACAAAGCCCATCCCTGCTAGTAGTTCCTGATAGTAGTTATTACGGCTAACCCAACGTCTACCAATACTGACTTGGACACATTATGTGGGCCAAGAAGTAATACATCACAGTTTGCGGTCCACTTGCGAATGATTACACAACAGGGTTTTGTACAGCGGTATCATGTATCATGACTTTGACAGTAGTTATTATTCCGTACTATTAACATGTCTTTTACGATTTGTCTGGTTAGACAATATGGTTAACCACATTCAAAGGCGAATCAAGTGTGTCCAGACCGCGTTAGGACGTCCAGTCATTTTTTAGGGTAATAATTGCTGTCCCTCAAACGCCTGCCGGCCAAGGTCGCTTTTCTGCAGAGTGAGCTCCTTGGTAAATAGTGAGCTTATGAAACCAACACCGCCAAAGGCAGTCATTGCGTAAAATACTGTCTGGAAAGCTTTGTGGTAAGCTCCCAAGACTGGGCCCAACACGTCCCGGGAAAGACCCAGATCCCTCAGCGTTGGTATAAAGCTAATGGCCCGGCTCGCTTCTCTCAGTGGAGCAAGAGACTCGGGGAGGTTGTCAACGCCGGCAATGGACTTGGCAAAGACACTGATAAATATTGAGGATGAGACGGCGAGTCCGAGGAGGCCTCCCACCAGGCGAAACCACAGGACGAGCCCGACGGCCAGCCCCGTGTCATCCACGTTTTCGACACTTGCTTGCATTGGAAGGTGGAGGAGACGCAACAATGCGCCTATACCCGCGCCCCAGATGATGGGGATGGCCATTCGCATAGCACGGGGGGAGCCTTCATCTAACAGGGCGACAAGGCCGGTGCCCACTGTGAGGACAACCCAGAACAGTCTGATACTCCATAGATATCCCGATTTAAGGAGACCTATGGTGATGACCACACCACTGGCGGCCAAGACGCATGTGATGCTGGTAGGGAGCAGCTCCACGGCCGTGTCGATTTGGCTCAGTAGGTAGACTGCCTGGAACAAGAGCAGCAAGTACTGTTGCAGCGGGAAGAGAACGAAGCCTTGCATAAAGTTCCCCAGCAGTGTCGCCTTGGCTGTTGTAGATTGTAGTAATCGATAGGGCATGATCGGAGCGGCGGGTAGTGACTCGTAGACAAAGTAACCGACCAGAATCAGGATTCCCATAATCAACGGGACAAGTGTCTGCCATGAGGCCCACGAGTACAAGGCGCCGCCCCAACTAAGAGGTAGGACGAAAAGAATCATTCCGGTGAAGGAGAGAGCCATGCCCCCCCAATCCAGGCTCTTCACATCGTCCATGAGGGAGTCGTTGACCGTACGGAGACGAAGGAAAAAGAATGTGATGGGGAACGAGACTCCGACAAAGGGCAAGTTTGCGTAGCCGATCCATCGCCAAGAGATGAATTCGCTGAAGACGGCGCCGATAGTTGGACCGATGATGGTCCCAATGGCGATGGGAATAGCCAGGAGCCCGAGAAACATGGCACGCTCCTGCAGTGTCGTTATATCCGTTATGATGATCTCGCTTAGCAGATCCATCCCCCCGCCCCCAAAGCCCTGAAACGCTCGGCCGACAATGATATACGTCATGTTCCTGGCAAGACCGAAGACGAGCGAGCCGATGGCGAAGAGCAGGAGGGCGACATAGAGCAGAGGCTTGCGACCGAAGACGTCGGAAAGTGAGGTGTACAGGGGCTGGGTGATGACCACGCAAAGAAGGTACGCGATTCCAGCCCAGAACGACTCGAAAGTTGTGCCATGCAACTCGTGCGCAATGGCCTTGGATGCCATTAGCGGATATTCATGGTAACCATGGAGCATACTCCGGGAGAGACGACTTACTGGAAGAGCCACGGAGAGAGTGGACGAGTCGAGAGCGAAGAGAAAAGTGTTGATACAGAGACCGGAAAAGGCGAGCCAAAAGGAAAGCGGCCGTCCTGCCCGTTGAGGTGAAGCAGGAGCTGTATTCGCTTCTAAATGGACGGACGGCGCTGCAGACGACTGCCGACTACGCCTTCGCCTCATATTTTGTCCGTGGTCCGGTTCTGGTTGTTGATCCATTGTCGGTGCCGGTACCATGCTGGGGATGACTAGGCAGAGATGCAAAATCGAAGGCCGAGGGAAGAGGAGGCGAGTAAAGAAGTGACAAATATGATATGAGGCCGACAAATGGTACGATTTGGTGCGAAAATGGACGCGCCGTCCGGATAGTCTATATGGTGAACAGGAGAAAATCTTGGTATGATCGTGGGCGAGGGAGCGCAGCGAGGACCTACCGCAGTTTCAATCCATTATTACGGCTCTCTTGTACAGTCATCAGGCTGGACCAACCACATTTACATATGTACATGTATGTACCATGCACGGGGTAATGGTGCTGACTGCATCCCCTGCCGCCCATGCGCAGAGTCGCGACCAACGACCAATGCATTGACGCTTTTCGGTCATTCAGCTCGCACAAAAATCACCGGGGGGTCGCGGGAAACGGAACCCGTCTGCTTGTCTCATTTCTTGAACCACTCGGCATCGGAATCCGGCGGGTTAGACTGCAGATAAACTCCTCGTGAAGGCCATGGCCCAACTATGGCGCAAGATGCGCAGTCGCCACATGTTGCGTTTGTGGCGGCCCGAAGTCGAAACACGCACGCAATAAGATGGAACGTACATTCCGGGGTATGATGTAGATGAGAACCTGCTGATAGCCCGATGCTACTATATATAGGCATAATATGGCTGTGGCTATGAAAAGGTAGGAAGATAGAGAGTCCTCAGCAGGCCGGCCTAATACAGAGGCGGGTTCAAATATCTGTTGCCTCCCACTGTCCATACCAGTCAGAGGCAGGTGGCATAAAGGCCGTTCTGCCAGCGAAAGCCATTTTTACGGGAAATACTTGTGTTCGTATTCCCTGCCAAACCGACCAACCCACCGAGCCGACCGCGAAGACTCTATTAGTACCTAACGGCCGAAGAGCAGACTTGATCAATATGGGTTCTTTAGCTGCTACAGTCGGGAATGGAGAAACCAACGAATCATCCCTTCAACACCCTGCAACTCATGGCAGCCATACCGCCAACGGCCATACAGCCAACGGTCACATAACCAATGGCCATACCCTCAATGGCCATTCCATAAACGGCCACACTGCAGACGATAACGGTACTATTAATGGCTCGCTAAACGGGCTCGGCTACCCGAGTCAAACTCTTATGGCCATCTGTGGCATGGCTTGCCGCCTTCCAGGAGGAATAGCATCGGCTGAGGAGTTATGGGAATTCCTTTTGGCAAAAAAGAATGCCCGGACTCGTGTGCCTGAATCCCGCTACAACGTCTCCGCCTTCCACTCCGCCGTTTCCAAGCCAGGAACGGTGGCTACAGAATACGGGCATTTTCTTGACGATAGCGTCGACCTTGGGGCGCTGGACACATCTGTCTTCCCCTTGAATCGAACTGAGCTAGAAAGATCGGACCCGCAACAGCGGCTGATGTTGGAGGTTGCCAGAGAGGCCTTTGAAGATGCCGGGGTGACCGACTGGAGGGGGAAGACGGTGGGATGCTACATTGGAAACTATGGAGAGGACTGGTCTGAGATGTTCGCCAAGGAACCGCAGCAATACGGCTTGCATCGCATCACTGGTACTGGGGACTTTGTCATCGCGAATCGGCTATCATATGAATTTGATATCAGGGGACCCAGGTACGTCGTACTATTCGCCCTCCTAACAACGATTTATAAAGCTAACGCATGGAACAGCGTCACAATTCGTACGGCTTGTTCTTCTGCCCTCATCGGCATCAACGAGGCCTGCGCGGCCATCGCCCGTGGAGATTGCGAAGCTGCCATCGTGGGCGGCCTTAATCTGATCCTGGCGCCGGCCATGACCATTTCTGAAACAGAGCAAGGCGTTTTATCCAAGGATGGCTCGTGCAAGACCTTTTCTGCAGATGCTAACGGCTATGCCCGGGGAGAAGCCGTTACTGCTGTCTTCATTAAACCATTGACCGACGCAATTCGTGACGGCAACCCGGTCCGGGCTGTCATCCGGGCCGTAACGAATAACTCGGACGGCAAGACGCCCGGGATATCACATCCAAGCACTAGCTCGCAGGAAACCCTCATGAGAAGAGCGTACGCCATGGCAGGAATCACCGACTTTGGGGAAACAGCTATGGTTGAGTGCCACGGCACCGGCACGCCCATCGGCGATCCTATTGAGGCCAATGCCGTGGCTCGTGTTTTCGGGGAGCGGGGAGTTTATATTGGTTCCGTCAAGCCAAATCTAGGCCATACAGAAGGCGCCTCGGGTCTCGTGTCCCTGATCAAGATGGTTAAAGCCCTTGAGCACCGCACAATACCACCCCAGATCCGGTTCACAGCTCCCAATCCCAACATCCTCTTTAAAGAGGGCAAACTCACGGTTCCCCTGGAGCCAACTCCCTGGCCTCAAGATCGCCTCGAGCGTGTAAGTCTGAACTCCTTCGGCGTGGGTGGCTCCAACGCCCACATAATCCTCGAGTCTGCCGTCATGCACAACGCCGCAACCGTCATTCACGCCACGCCGGAAGAACCTCAGCTCCTTTTATACACGGCCAGTTCTGCCAAGTCCCTCGCCAGGATGATTGACAACTACCGGCACTGGGTTGAGAGGAACCCCTCCAAGGTCGCCGACCTGGCCTACACTCTGGCTAGGAAGCGAGATCATGGGCCGCACAGGGCCTTCGCTATTGCCAACGGCGGCGCAATTGAAACCGTCTCGCCGCCCGCAAGCATCAAGCCCGGCACGAAGCCGCCTAATATTGTCATGGTCTTTACAGGTCAGGGAGCGCAGTGGCCCCAAATGGGTCGACAGCTATGGCAGTCCAACGAGACCTTCAAGGCCAGCATTCAGCACCTGGATCAGTGTCTCCAAGCCGTTTCTGGAGAAAGGCCACACTACTCAATCCAGGAGGAGCTCAAGAAGCCGGCCAAGAAGAGCCGCGTATCTTCGGCCGAGATCTCCCAGCCCCTGTGCACGGCAATTCAGATCGCCTTGGTCGACTGCCTGAAGGCCCTGGGCATCGTGCCGAGTGCCGTTGTCGGCCATTCTAGCGGCGAGATTGCGGCCGCCTACGCCTCGGGGGCGCTCACAGCGAGTGAAGCCATCATGGCAGCCCATCACCGTGGCGCCGTGACGAATAGGCAGAGGAGAAAAGGGTCCATGGCGGCCATTGGAATGAGTTGGCGAGATACGGAGAAGCACCTCGTGCCCAACGTCGTCATCGCCTGTGACAACTCTCCCAAAAGTGTGACAATTTCAGGTGACACAGATAAGGTCAAGGCTGTGGTGGCTGATATTCAAATGACACGTCCAGAAGTGTTGGCTCGGCTTCTTCAGGTAGACAAAGCATACCACTCGCATCACATGGCCGAGATTGGAGACGACTACGCTTCGTTGATTAGCGGCCAAGTGAATGGAAAGGGTCCTTCGAATGCCTTCTTCTTCTCTAGTGTGACAGGAAAGCTGCTGGATGGAGAGCACAATCTCGGGTCGGCATATTGGCGGACAAACCTCGAATCCCCCGTCCGGTTCCGTGAGGCCGTCACAAACCTCCTGAATCACGAGGTTGGCAAGCATGCCGTCTTTATCGAGATTGGCCCTCACTCAGCCCTCGCGGGACCTCTGAGACAAATATTCACTGAGACCTCTTCACCTTGTCCTTACTTGTCAGTCATAATCCGCAACCAGGATTGTCTTGGATCCTATCTGGCTGCCGTCGGCAAACTCCATTCACTCAATGTAAACATCAACCTCGACGTCTTGTTCCCCACGGGTTCTTGTCTACCAGATCTCCCAAGGTACCCGTGGAACCACGAGAACACCTGCTGGTACGAGTCCCGTCTGTCCAAAGATTGGCGCTTCCGAAAATTCCCCTATCATGATCTCCTTGGCCTTCGAGTCGTCGAGAGCACCGAGCTCGAGCCGGCCTGGCGCAACCTGTTTCACCTATCCAACACGCCTTGGGTCCACGACCACAAGATCGGGGACGATATCGTTTTCCCCTTTGCCGGCTACATTGCCATGGCTGGCGAGGCGGTGAGGCAGACGACGGGCATCAACGACGGGTTCAGCATTCAAAATGTACTTGTCAGCACAGCACTGGTACTCCCTAAGGGCAAGCCCACGGAGATGATAACCACGTTCCGGCCAAAGAGCCTCACAACGGCCCTGAACAGCTCCTGGTGGGAATTCACGATGGCCTCGTACAACGGTGACATCTGGACAAAACACTGCACGGGCGAAGTCATGGCGCTCACGTCTGACCCAAGACCGGGACAGGATCCCGAACCCCTTCCTCGCAAGGTGAACACGGCCAAGTGGTACAGCAACATGAGCAAGGGCGGTCTTGACCTTGGCCCTTGTTTCCAAACACTTGCCACCATTGAGACTTCAACGCGTCCAGAGGACAACCGGGCCATTGGAAATGTTGTCAACGGCAGGCAGGGCGATGAGGCCAACTACCACATCCATCCCACCGTTCTCGACGCGACCATCCAGATCCTAGGTGCCGCCGCCACCAATGGCCAGATGCGAAAGACCAAGACTTGGCTTCCTACCAGCATGGACAGGCTCAGCGTCTACCGTTGCTCGTCGGACATGGTCACCAGTGTTAGTGCGAGGCTGTCAAGCAACCATTCCGTAGTGGGAGGAGGCCGTTGCACGGCGGGCGGCGTCGTCGTCGTCGAGGCTGAGAATATCAAAATGTCACTTGCGGCCGACTCCATTTCAAACCAGGTCCCCGACACACACGCGGCCGCAAGGTACGAGTGGAGCGCCGATATTGACTTTATGAATGTTGGCGAGCTCCTCATCGCACCAGCAGGCCGCTCTGAATACTTGCATCTCCTCGAGGAGCTCGGGCAACTCTGCTTGCTTTCCTCGAAGCGCCGGCTTTACTCGACGTCTAAACCGGTGGTCCTCGCTCCTCATATGCTCAAGTATACGTCCTGGATCACGTCCGCTTCCAAGGTGGTCGTCGTCAACCTAGCGTCTGTCGTGAGCAATCTGGACAACGAGAACATCTCGGCCCGCATCCACGCTCTCTCAAACCGTCTTGCTGACACTCCAATGTCGCCCGTCTCTAATGCCATCCGCGAGATCTGGACGAATATGGATCTGTTGCTTTCAGGACAGACACTCGAAGATATTCTCCCGGAGGAGACACTACCTAGTGTCTTGAAGTTCGTGCACAAATCCATTGACTATGGCCCACTTATTCAGCATCTAGCACACTCCAAACCCAACTTGCGCATCCTCGAGATTGGCGGCGACAGAAGCTCATCGGCAGCCAGTGGCATTGCCGAGGACCTCACACGCCCCGATGGCCAAGTGCTCTGCTCCCAGTATACCTTGAGCTCGCCAGGCTTTGTCTCCAGCAAGGACCAGCCGATGCTGCTCCCCAATATGGAATACACCACTCTGGATATCGGCCAAGATCCCGCGCATCAGGGCTTCGAGGGACACCAATACGACCTCATCATCGCGTCCAACGTCATTGGGGCCACCAGGGACCCGCAGCAGAGCCTGGGCAACATTAAGAGACTCCTGAGTCCCAACGGCCGACTGCTTATACAGGAGACTTGCCCGTCGTCCAAATGGGCCACCTATGTTCTCGGAGTCCTCCCGACGTGGTGGCAAGGCACCGCTGACGGGTCTGACGAAGCAGCCGTGCTCAGTCCCGAAGTATGGCAGTCGAAGCTTGCGGCGGCAGGGCTCGGCAGCATCGAAGCCACGGTTCTGGATGCCGAACAGCCTCACCAACTCACTGCGACCATAGTAGCAAGACATGACTTGCCCCGGGAGACTGCCCCTAGACGAGTCACTGTTCTTGTCGATGACGAGAATGGAGCTGCCACTCGGCGGATGCTCAGCCGACTAGAAGATGACGGTTACGCCGTGACAAGTTGCAGGTTGGATGGCTCTCCGCCAGTCGGACAGGATGTCCTCTCCTGCCTGGACCTAGACAAACCCTTCTTTGAGAATCTCAGCGAGCCCCGCTATCAGCTCCTCAAAGACTTCCTCCTCGCCCTCGGCGGCGCCGGCGTTCTCTGGATCACGGCTCTCAGCCAGCGGGGATGCCGTGATCCCCGGTACGCCCAAGTCTTGGGTCTCGCTCGATGTGTCCGCTCCGAGATGATTGCCGACTTTGCCACGTGCGAGGTGGACAGCTTCGACAATGCCCAGTCAATGGACATGATCCCCCGGGTCCTGGCCAAATTCGAGAATCGCGACGACGACGCCGACGACGCCGTCAAGTCCGACTTTGAATGGGCCATTATCGACGGCCAGGTCCAGGTTGGGCGCTTCCATAAATTCGCGCTGCGTGACGAACTCCTGGTGTCGGAGCCCGCTGGAAAGGCTTCCCTTGACATCGGGACGCCTGGCCTGGTCAACAGTCTGCGTTGGGTGCAACAGCCGCGCGAGGCCGAGCTGAAGCCGGGCGATGTAGAGGTCCAGGTGCACTCTGTAGGCTTGAACTTTCGGGTAAGTCGACTCTATGCCAGCTTTGTCGTACTATCTGACTCGATCGCAAGGACATCCTCGTGGCCCTTGGCATCGTGGAACTTCCAGTGCGCCAGTTTGGATTCGAAGCAGCAGGCATCATTACACGGGTCGGAAAGGACGTGGACCCCAACCAGCTCAAGGTCGGCGATCGCATCTGCTGCTTAAAGAAGCAGGCCTTTGGGACTTATATTGTCACTCCGGACTATAGTTGTACTCATGTCCCCGACAACATCACCTTTGATGAGGCCGCGTGCATGATCATGCCATATATTACGGCTATCCACGGCTTGTTCGCTACTGCACGTCTTTCCAGGGGTCAGGTACGTAGTCACGGCCGGCGGCTAAGATGTCCCCCTATGCTGATATATACATAGACCGTCTTGATTCACAGCGCATGTGGTGGCGTTGGTCTGGCCGCTGTGCAGATTTCCCAGATGGTCGGCGCTGAAGTGTACTGTTCCGTCGGCAGAGAAGACAAGGTCGAGTTCCTGATGAACAACTTCAACATCCCCCGGAATCGCATTTTCTACTCCCGTGACAAGTCCTTTGTTGGTGACGTTATGCGGGAGACTGGTGGCCAAGGCATGGACGTCATCCTCAACTCCCTTTCCGGCGAGCTCTTGCACGCAACGTGGACATGCGTCGCCGAGTTCGGTACCTTGGTTGAGATTGGAAAGCGAGATCTGATCGGCCGTGGGAAACTCGACATGGAGCCCTTTTTGAAGAACCGCAGCTACTGCTGTATTGACATTGACCGCGTCTGGTCGAAGCCGTGGATTCTGAGAAAGTGAGTTGAGCACAATGTAACCACCTCGAGATCCTTCTCCAAAGGCTGTCCTTGTCCAAATCCACTCTTGACACAAGAGACCGCTTTTCTAACACAATGAACTTCTATATAGACACATGCTGGACGCCTTCGACTGGTGTGCCAAGGGTCTTGTCACCCCCGTTCGACCCGTCAAATCTTTCCCAGCCAGTCAAACACAGGACGCGTTCCGGTACATGCAAAAGGGGTTTCACATTGGACGAATTGGCATTTCCATCTCTCACAACCCAGAACACCCGGATACCCAGTTTGAGACTGTCAAGATGGCCCGACCCATCACATTTGACGGATCTGGTTCCTACCTTCTTGTCGGGGGTCTCGGGGGTCTCGGCCGCGCCATTTCCGTCTGGATGGCCGAGCACGGCGCCCGCGAATTGATTTATCTATCACGAAGCGCTGGAGGGGACACCAAGCACGACCTCTTCGTGGCCGAGCTCAAGAGTATGGGCTGCAACGTCAAGCTCATCCAGGGAGACGTGACCAAGCTCGAGGACGTCGAGAAGGCTGTCAAGGCGGCCACACATGCCCTTCGAGGCATCATCCAGATGTCCATGGTGCTCTATGACCAAAACTTTACCAAAATGACCTTTGAGGAGTGGACGGGTGCGACAGCCCCCAAGGTCGAGGGCACATGGAACCTACACCGTGCCTCCCTGTCCGCTGGTACAGACTTGGACTTTTTTGTCCTCTTCAGCTCCGTTTCGGGAATCATCGGCCAGTCAGGCCAGGCCAACTATGCCAGCGCCAACACCTTTCTTGATGCGTTTGCCCAGTACCGCAAGGGCTTGGGCTTGGCAGCCTCGGTCGTCGACGTCGGAGCCGTCGAAGACATTGGAGTCATTACCGAGCGCCAAGGATTAATGAGCACCATGAAAGCAACCGGCTTCAAGGGCGTCACAGAGCAGGAACTCTTGGACGCCATGGTCTTGGCAATGTTTGCCCATGCTCGGCCGACGGGGCAAGGAAATAGTCCAGGCTTCCACTCGGCCTTTGTCGAGGCCAACACGTTTGTCCTTGGCCTGGACTCGTCGATACCGCTGAGTAGTCCCAACAACCGCTCCGTGTGGAAAAGAGACCGTCGCATGGCGGTGTACCACAACGCCGCTGCCGCTGGTGCTGAAGCCGCCGCGTCCAACGATGGTCTCAAATCGTTCCTGGCTGGTGCCAGGGCCGACCCTTCTGTCCTCAGCTCGCCGGAGACAGCTAACCTGTTCGCCGTTGAGATTGGCAAGAAACTGTTTCACCTGCTGCTCAAGCCACAGGAGGACCTCAACATAGCCTTGCCCTTGGTCGACCTGGGTCTCGACTCGCTTGTGGCACTCGAGCTCAAGGCCTGGTGGAAGCAGGTCTTCTCCTTTGACATCAGTGTGCTGGAGATGCTTGCGATGGGATCCCTTGCGGCGCTTGGGAAACATGCCGCCGACCAGATGATCAAGATTACCGCCATTGATAAGGACGCGTCCTGACATCTTTCTATTTTGGGGCGTGAAAATTTAGGGGGGTCGTAACGGGGCATTATTTGACCTTGGACTTTTTGCTCGGATGCGCCACGTTTCTGAGCTCAGATTAAGCCCTCTATGAGAAGACTACTACAATTATTTCGAGGAAATGGTGGTAGAACAGACTACTGCGGTGGTTTGCAAGGCGGCAATGCCAGCTTCGCCACTGTGGTCACTGCCGCTCGGAGTTTGCTTCAAGCTGCTCGCTCGATGACTTTAACAGTCGGGCCGTAGAGGCGTACGTCTCCAGTTGAAATTATTGCACAACCTTGCCGATGAGGGTAATACTGGCTACACATTCGTCAGAAAATACATGGGTTGCGCACGCGAAACCTTCGACTGCATCACCAGGGTCGCCTGTCTCGTGGCAACTTGCGGTAGAGAGATTCTCGGTTTTGAACCCCCGAACCTTTTGCAAACCTACCTGCCACCACTTGGAGGAGTTTAATTCACTTTTAAAAGCTTCAGTCAATGTTGAGAGCCAGAATATCATGCCTGTTTATTTCGTCCTTATACGACTTACATGGCCCTGATGATGTCTGGTGCAATGTTAAGCTGTAATACATTGCATTATACCCTGTAGCAAGAGCTGGGTCAGGTCAGGTAGGGGAGCAAATGTTCGGGCGATCTATAGCCTCGAGTAATAGTACCTAATAGATAGAAATAAGGTAGCTAAATGCGATAATATGTTGCTCTGATTCTTTTCGCTGCCATTTTGCGAGCTAAACTCGGGTCTGAACCCTACGACATTACTAAAAGCACTGTATCAGAAGCTTATTAAAAGCATGTACTATTACACTCGATCCGTAGATACACACCATATATCATAAATACAAGCCCATAATGATTCTGGTTTCCCAACTTTTGATCAAATAGCATATTTCCAAGCATCAGGCGATAGAGGGGTCGATGCTCCTCTTGGCCCAGTACAAGCAAGTTGCAGACGAAATGCCCGACTGAGTGAAGGGGGTCATAAGCTCTCGGGCTTTCTAGTCTACCGTCCTTGATTCATAACTCGACGATACATAGGGCTCGACGAGTATAAAGTGCTGCTCGTTCTTTGTACAGGAAGACTATGTTGAATGTTAAATATAATCATGGATACCCACAAAAGGCCAATTCTTTTCTTTTCAGGTTATAAACAGTGTAACTTGCCACTGTATAGAGATGGACACTTCTAGAGCAAGAAGAACAAGCCGTACAATTTCATTCAAGTTTGAGAATCCCGTGGCTTTCGCAGTCGTGGCTCCAGTCGCGGCTCAAATGTGGCATATAATGGTGCGCAAACGCTAGCCGTTATGAATAAATCGGATGCTAGTGTTGAGGTTTTTTAACATGAAAGCGCAAATTAAAAAATCTAACGTCGCGTCTCGAGTTATTTGAGGCCGCATGAATTATTCCATAGTTCGACGACGGTCAACACTGGTACGGGTGCTGGGAAAAACAGGCAACGGCACCTGCCAAACGATAAATTGTTGCATACAGATGTATCTGTGACTTAAATCGAAGAACAATTTCTGAATCGCCAAGTTGCGTCTAAGCAGTCTCGGCCGGCTCACTGCGAATATGTAGTCTCGTTTGGACACCCTTGACCGAATGCGCGGTACAGTAGGTACCAGTAAATCCGGAACTATTTGCATCGTAGACCTGGAAACAAGCACGCGGAATTGCGGAGATATACCGTAACTTGTACTTTAAATGATATTTTCTTATATAGGACCCGTGGCTGAGCAATGAATAGATTTCACAACGTTGAGGCTGTCGTCGATATCCCACTACTGGTCATGGTATCTTAGTTGATGCAAATGTATGAGCAATTAACGACGTGATATGGCTATGGAAATGCTTATGCCTCGTTGGTTACTGTGTGGAGAGTGATAAAGCCAAGATATAAATCCAGCAGTTAGCACGTCAAGGAAAAATCAACCAGAGTTGAGTATTATTAACAAGGTTCTCAACAATTTTCACACTTCAGACGACATCCTCCGACGCATTACTACTTTGCTTGTCTACCTTGTGATATTCTACTCTTGCCACAGGCGACGCAGCACCGCGCTGGTAGACGTGAAGCCGATGATCTTGGACTCATTTGATGACGAATGTGGATAAGCTGACAGTCATCTCTGCTCACTTCCAAAAGCATACAAGATGTAGTCTTAAATACCAGGCACCAAGGCTGTGACTTCCCGTCATCAGGGATCCGAAAGATTTGCTCAAGCGATTCACACGTGTCAATTCACAAGTTTCCATGCGGGAAAAGAGATTTTGCTACACACTACCTCCACTCATCGCAAGTGAGGTATTTTCCAATTCATCTGCCTAATGGGTTTCAAGAAGTGCTGACATAGCATTAACGAAAGTGATCTGAAAAGAATACCCTTCCGGTCTCAACGGATCATCCAATTGGGCGGAACAAACAAATGACGTTGCTCGCCGTTACGACTTCATAACGCCCACGCAAACATACGTGTATGCCCAGAGAGTGAGGCAATCCGGACCAGCGCCTTTGTTCCATTGAGTGAATTGATTAGTGGTAATGTGATTGCTCTCAGCAATCTGCACGCATGTGTTGTCTTTTTGTACATAGCAAAACGTGTCGCAGTTGTCAACCATGCCTGGCTGGGTGGGCAACGGAGTCTTCACGCCTACGAGAGTGTAAATCAGTATGTTTTCTTCAATGTTGTCTGTTTTGAGGAAAGCGTCGATGAACTTACTGTCGGCTCGCTTCTCAGTCGGCGTTCGCTTGATTGAAACTTTTGTTGGTGCTGGGACACACATGGGCCAATTGCCCGTAATCTCTTTGTTATTGTTGAGAGTGGGCTTTTAATTAGTTAGTTCAGCTTGGCTTCTTTGGCTGAATGTATTCGGGTTGCTTTGGGGGAACACCAACCGACGCGCTGGCAAGACATGCCAGCTGGGTAGCAAGAAGAAGGGTTTTGGCGAAGCCGAGCATTGTGAAGGGTAGAATCAAGGGCTGAGGAGTGGTAAACGCAGAGTTGAATTTGTGGTATGTAGACGGCAGTGCAATGTCTGTGAGGCGATAAGATGCTGGGTTTCTTCCCAAACAACAGCGCAGGCTCGCGGTATTTATATCTCTAGACGCTCGTGTTCAAGTCTCAGTGATTGGCACGATTTGCCGTCACAGCCCCAGCAAGGTTGTCGATTTGTATTGTACAGTCATACGATGATCTCACCATACATGTCACATATGCAATATTTGTTGGTCATTTTCTTACACCGGACTCTCGCTGCAGCCAGCCTCATTCCGCGGTCGGTCGCCGGGCCACAAATATGCATCTGCCGATTACACGATTGGTCACTTGTGACATAAACCACGTCTTGTTCTGCCGCGATACTGACATCTGGCCGCCTTAAGCCATATCGGGATATATCCGGCCTCCCCAGACGGGGTCAACATTGACTGAGAGGGGTCGCGTACATGATGTTACGCGAACCTTTGTGCCATCCAATGATTGATATGATCCTTTTATTACCCCATACATACCGGCCAATTGTAAACTTTCAAACACTTTGACATATGCCGTGAGCTGTTTAGGCAGCCACAGGGTGCATTCAAGTCCCTGTTCAACCTGCGCCTTTTCCTCCGGTCGACGGCAGGACACCACGATGAGCCCAAGCAGGGCGTACCAATCTGCAGAGATAACACCTGGCCTACCCATACAGCTACACTGACAGGCGTATTAACTGCACCATTGCTGGCACAGAAAGTGGTGCGCCCTGCTCCGTACACGCCAAGGATGGATGAAGCTGCAGTCCACAACTCGCCTTTCGCGGCTCGTGTCAAGCTTGACAAATTATGCCGCATGCCGTACTCCACGAGCTACAGATTCCCGGCTTTCGAAATGACATGATTTTTGCTTTGTTATACACCAATTGTATGTACGCACTAGTCTCTATCCTACGCCAGGCGTGGTCAGTATTACTAAGAAGCCAAGACTCAGCCTCCTTGAATGCAACCATTCCAACTTCATGTCTTGCAACAGGAGAGATATTACTCTCTGAAATATGACGACACGCATGCAATAAAACCCATTCACCTCCCGTTGATTCGACTAATTGGAATACCGCCTACATGTGGAACCCGATAGATCACAACTTGTAGAGCATCTCCTTTCTGTGCAACACAGTGGCTGTATTTATCTAGTAACAAATTGACCGGTCAACGTCACGGAAACTACTCCGTAAAACTGCAAGCTACCATCTACCTTTTTTGGGACAAGCAGTGTTACCAAGACGTCCTGACTCGGGCTCGGTAACACGACTCACCCCAGCCATCACATGCATTGTACTCCGTAAGCAACGCAATATTGCTGTCAACATGCAGAATCATGCCACACACGGCCAGCCAATACGACACTGGGCATGATTTCAGATCACATTCAATTGAGGGTTGGTTTGAGGTCGCCCGCCATACGGAGAAGCGGAGGCATGCGTTCCGACGCTTTGTCTTCCACCTTAGACAACATAATTTGAGCTTCGAAGTAGACTCTACCATAGAGACAATATAACCATCAATAGTAAGAGACACTATGCGGGCGCAGGACATCCGCTATTGGCTGTTCTGAAAGTGGAAACGCAATTGCATGTCCCGTTATCGCTAGTAGTCAAGTGGTCAGTCTCTGCCTGGTGAGCATGTTGCAAACAGCATAGCTTGCTATATTGCCGGCACGGTGCACAATCATTTCGGCCAGAGTTCTTAGCTTGGATAAAAGGCGCTTCAAAATATAAATGAGCGTCTGATTTCCTGGCTACAAAATCGCAACAACAAAGATAACAAATACCAAGCCTTGTTGCTGAAGCTCGAACCGTCCGGATTTCCTATATTCTGATGTTCATCTCTGCGCCGTTCTCGACGTATGCCTTGTCAGGAATTCCTTCCCAGAAACAAGCTTACATCAAGTCTCCAAGCAAGACAACCCCATGTCCCTGGCTGTCAGTTAAAGTCCAAGTGTTGTACTTGGTCCCCATACACACACGCATTCGTCTTTTCCACGAATGTATACTGGGTGGGCGTTGGTCACTGAAGTTGCTACGAGCTCAAGGATCGAATAACGCCCTCGCCACAAAATACGGGACCTAATAATGGTCATGAACTCAGGGTAGCCTGGTGACTCATATGATATGGTAAGGTTGATGTATATTTACAGAGAATTAGACTATTTGCAATTGCACACAGTGCCATTTGGTTTGTTGCGTTATCAAGTGTTTCCACTAGACTTGAGGACCAGCCCATTATCCAGATGGATTGCCGTTGAAAGCAAGCAAATTGACAGTTCCTGATGGGACACTGCTAATAGTATTTTTTGTAGCTAGAGAGCGAATTCTTTCGCAAAGAGCCTGAGCACCGGGGAAGCCTTCCAAAGAAGCCAAGTAGGCACCAAGACCAACAATATGTGGCGTGGCCATGGAAGTACCAGAGATGGAGTTCTAGCGAGAGATTAGGGTTGGCCATTCTCAACGATTGGGTAGTATAACTCACAGTAGCGCCATTTATCCAAGTTGACAGGATATTGCTTCCAGGGGCAAGAATGTCAACAGCAGCCCCGTAGTTTGAAAAGGAGGAAAGTCTATCAGAAGAATCCGTTGCTCCTACAGTGCATACACTAGGCTCAGAGGCAGGGGACGTTTGGGAGGCATCCTTCGCGTCGTTTCCTGCCGCAACAGCAAGGAATACACCAGACTGGATCATCTTTGCAGCAGCCTGGTTGATGGCAGCTGAATAGCCGCCTCCCAAGCTCATGTTGGCGACGACGCCCTTGGGGCAGCTTCGTGTTCGAGAGTCTTCGATAGCATGGTCCATACCGGCAAGAATGCCAGAGTAATCGCCGCTGCCTTGGTCACTCAGAACCTTGATTCCAATGATGGTGGTTTTCTTAGCCACGCCATAGCTTTTACTGCCAATGGTTCCAGCCACGTGGGTGCCATGACCGTTGCGATCAGAGTTCTCTCCGGCAACAAAAGACTTAAGAAACAGGGCTCGACGTTCGAATTCCTACACTTGCGAGTTAGTTGCATCGGATAAATGCGCCATATTTGCCTCCATAGCCGAAGGCATGTCTCATACATACTGGATGCGAAGCCTCGACTCCAGTATCGATAACATACGCGCATGTGCCTTCACCGGCACTGTCATCATAGGCGTAGCTACTTCCTCCGGGCCGTCGGTGCGAAATGCGAGACAGACCCCAAGGGGCGCCCGACTGTTCGGCAAATGCGCTAATCTTGACAGTCGCATCGTTTTCAATAAAATCAACCTATGTCAGGCGTTAGAAAAGATTCAGGTGCAGCTTGTGCAGTCAAGCTTACAGCAGAATGATTACGGAGCGTCTCAATGGCCGTCGCGTTCAACGCGCCAGCGAATCCGTTGAAGATGTGAGAGTACGTTTTCTCCGCCTTGGCATGATATTCCTTGATGGTGCTGTCGGCAGTTGAGAAATCAAAAGTCTCTTTGTACTTGACAATATACTTGTCGGGGATAGTGTCACCTCGTGGGACAAGGAGTGGTGCCGGCTCAGCTCGCTTGGCTGGAGCCGCGAGGGCCAGAGGCAATAGGTTGAGCAACAAGAGACTTGGAAACATGATCACAGATCAGTGTAAGTTGAAGGGAAATATTGCAAGAAGAGAAGGGTTGATGTGGATGAATAGTTCCTCGAATGGTAAGCAGAAGCCTTCCTCTTTATAGTTCTGGACAAAGAGACCACGAGAGGTTAACCCATGTATTGTTGCTTTTTCTCAAGAACTCAAGCGCTACCTGCCCATTAAGGCAAGTACAATGTGAACACACGGTAAGACTCTTTTCATCTGTTTCTGGGTGCATTTTTTTTTTTTTGCTTCACGGTGCAAAAAGTCCAATACCCCCGTTGTCGGGACTCGGGACGACTCAGCTGCAAACACGAGAACGTCGTGCTCATCAGAGGGGAGGCTGGTAATCATGGAACCGGTAAGAGTAAGGATCGTCAATACACGCGTATCATGTAACCTGACTTGGGGAGCATCGTGGTGCGTCTGCATCCGTTGCGGAGGGAGGTTCGTCGGATCCGGCGACTTGGAAGGAGGCCAGAGCTGCGACTTTGCACAGGCGCTGGTTCCTCTCGTCTGTTTCCAAGGATCAAGGTTAATGCATCCTGGTATGTGGCCCCCTCTCCCCTTTTCCAGCTACCGAAATCAGCAACGTGGCAGATGTGTGTACCCCAAGCATCAATACGGTGAGAAAATCGAGCATCTGGATTCTGAGACACCATGGTTATCCCTTGGCTGCCACCATACCGAGCAAGATAAGCAACTCTATTGACGGTGCTTTCCATTTTTAATCTATTTCATTTTATTTACGTATTCATCTTTTACGGTGCAGCATTCAATTAATGCCTCTATTCAGCCGCATTTACCCCATGCACCTCGCATTAACATCGACTACATGTACCCACTGAAGCTGTTAAAGGGAAGGTCGGTTCCAAGCTAGCAAACTGAAGATTCACCGTCAATAGGTTATAAATAAGTATAAAAAAAGCCCGGCTCTCCTATCGGGTCGAAAAGTACCCAAGATGGGTTCCCGAACGGGAAGCTTGAAACCCGGCCAGGGTGACATCCGCAACCAAAGTGGAAGGCAAACGAGAAACTTGGGCGCAATGTGAAACTCGATGCATGAAGCGGGGGAGGGCGTTATTTTGCCTATGCATCCGGCTTGGCGCGCTGCGTAGACGACATTGACGAGGCTGTATCGGAAAGTCCTGGTGCAATTTGCCGCGCAGCTCCCACGAGTTTAAAGTTCTTTCCAAAGACTCAGCCATCAATTGAGGGAGTGATCTGCGTCAGGAGAAACGTAGTATCTTGGGATTTTGGAAATTGGTTGACAAGGTGAGACAACCTAACTAATGAGGAAGCTGACTCAACTATGCTTTTCTTTTCTTTTTCTCGGTCTGCGGCAATTGCACTTTTGGTACCGCATATTACGCATGATCCTGATGTCTGAGTCCCCTGTTTCCGTGGATGAGCGAACTCGGGAATAACGGGATTCAGGCTCGTCGGTGAGCGGCCTAATGCCGGTTACGTGAATAAAGCAGGAGTCTATCTGCCTTGGAAATCCTAGTCATATTCGTTTTAGATTTCGTTTTAGCATTCTTTTCCTAGGTCTGACTTGACGGGGAGAAATAGACACCCACATTCCGTAGACCATGGGAATTCATTTGGCCATCACTGTTCCTACAGAGACAAATCCTGCCAAGTCTGTTGATGAATCGACATGTATCCCGGAAGCAGCTATTCCTGTTACTCTGACACCCGAGGGATGCTGTTACACGGAAATGGCTTGTTACACAAGGGCTACGGTCACGGGATTAGGGCAGAAGGTCCTCACTAACTTCTTGTATAAATAGACGTCTTCGGTCCCTTAAGGCCTTAAGGAAAACCAAGGACCTTTGATACCAAAGACTGTTATTAGATGAATTGAGTAATTGCTCCAAGCTAGGCCCTTGTCACACATGTCGCCCGACGATGTGCCTACTCAGCCAGTAATGAAAAGGGTAAGTTGATAGCGGCTGCCCAAATCTCGACTCGGGAAACTACGTATTCCCATTCAGTCATATTTTCTATACTTGTCAATCTCTACTAGACAAATGGAGACGCGCTGCTTCTCATCAGACGTACCAGTATCAGCGCAAGTGCAACGCTGGGTTATTAGCCACAGAAACTACTTCAGGGGGTCTATGACCCCAAAGTTCTCAGTTGAATTAAACTCATCCCACTATTCACATTGATGAAGTTCAGCCATCCATTGTACCATCGTTCAATTATCCGCGACCATGTTTCAGGTCCCCCGTTTACACGCCAATCTTGACGACAACCATAATACTAGTCCGAAGCCCGCACCCACCGCCAAGTATTCCATATTCTCATTCTAGCACCATCTACCGGCCCTTGTATGCAGCAGTAGCGTTGGCGAGAAATTGGTCAAACACGCCATCGCCGGTAGTTGGAGTAATAAAGTTAGGCACAACCTGCCCCTTGCCATCGAGGCCAGTGACCGTCTTGGCCGCCGTCTTGCCCACCCACTTCTGGGCGGCGGCAAACTCCCTCGCAGCCTCGTCCCCTTGCCCCTTGTCAAGCGCGTCCAACATGGCGACCAAATGCTGGCACGCGGTCGCCCACTGCATCGCCAGCGTCGACCAGGGTGCCACGTCGGCGGCGAATCCCCCCACGGCCATGCGGGGGAGCACGTCTGGCAGCGAGGTGAGCAGTTGGAGACGATCGCGCAGCGCTCGGGTGCCGTCGGCGTGTTTGGCAGAAGCGTTGCGCGCGGCCCAGAAGGCGGCCATGTCCTTGCTGAGCTGGGGCGCGTTGATGGCAGGAGTGCGATACGGCCAGTTTTGGTTGAGGTCGGCAAAGGCGACGACGGCGTTGTACACGGTGTTATTTCCGCCGGCGAGCTCCCGCAGTGCCGCGGCCATGGAGGCCGTTGCGTTGTACGCCGGCCCGTTCCACGTGTAGTCGGCGTAGTTGGCGAGTGCTGCCATGGAGGCGTACGGCTGCACCATCGGGTTCGAGGTGAAGCCGAGCAGATGCTGATACAGGACGGCATCGCGGCCCGTGAGCGGGTTCAGGAACAGGCGGTTGGGCTTGTCGTCGTTGACGGGAAAGTTGTCCCAGAAGAATAGCTTGTCCGTGACGTAGGTCGAGTCGGCGCGGACGACGCTTTCGACGGCGACACTGGCGGAGAAGACGCCTTCTCCAGTCCACTGGATGCGAATCTTCTTGTTCAGTTGGGTGCCGAACTCGCCCTTGTAAGGATCCGGTGCGCTGCCGGCATAGTTGGTCGGGACCGTCTCGAGGTCCATGAGGCCGTTTGCCTCGACATAGTCCTTCTGGATGCGGTTGAGATAGTACGCCTGGGCGTCGGCAAGCCAGTGCCAGTTTCCCTGGTTGGGCCACTTTTGCTTATCCGAATCACAGTGGAATGCGAGAGGGATGTCATCCAGAGCAACGTAGAAGCTGCGGACGCCGAGGGCGCGGACTTGGTCAAACTTGGCAACGGTAGCATTGAAGTCCGAGTCGGAAGAGTAGCATACACTCAACCCGGGCGAGAGAGCAAACGTGAAGTCGACGTGGTTGGTGTTGGCAGTCTCGACAAGCTCCTTCAGCTGCGCGAGGCCACTGCTGTCATAAAGGTCACGCCAGTTGGTGCGGAGGAGCGTGTCGTCCTTGGGCGTGTAGATGTACGTGTTCAACTTGTGCTTGCCGTAGAAGACATACTGGTCGAGACGCGCCTGGTGAGACCATGGCACGCCGTAGAAGCCCTCGATAGAGCCACGGATGGGCATAAGGGGCCAGTCGCGCACCTTGACGCCAGGGATCCCCTGGCGAGCATCTACGAGCTGTCGAAGGGTTTGGGCGGCGTAGAAGCTGCCGCGCGCATCTACACCGTTGAGAACAACGGTGTCCTGGTTCTGGTACTTGCCCGATGCAAGGACGTAGCCCTCGGCGGCGAGGCCATTTGCAGATTTTCCCGTGAGTGCGTTGGCGGCAGCAACAGCAACACCGTCTGCCTTCTCGGCCCCAATCAAAATCTGCGTGCCATGGCCCGAGAGCTGTGACGAGAGTGTGGCTGTGCCGCCAGCGGAAGAGACGATGGCCTTGACAGCATTGATGGTGGCAGCGTCGGTGCCATTGTCGGCGACAATGGTGACAGCGCGGTTGAGCGAGACCCAGCCGCCAGTTCTCGAGATGTGCTGAGGAGGAGGCCAGCTGGACGGGATCTGTTGCTGATCATCTTTCCTGTTGTCTTTGTCGTCGTTACCGTTATCCCGGCCAGGCAAGATCACCTGGGTATCTAGTGCAGCACCATCGGGCCAGACGAGGCCCGAGGCGACGAGAGCGATGAGAAAAGGCCAAAGGCACGTGGCGCGATAGAGTTTCAACATGGTATTACTGAGGCTTTGGAATTTGTGTGTGAAACGACATGGTCACGCCGAGGGGTTCGGTCGACCGGGTACGTAGTACGTACAAGACTATATATATACTCGAGGTACTCGAACGTAGCAATACACTGACGGAATGCTCCGACGGGAAGACGGCAGATTTTCCTTTTCCCGACGCTTGTTATTCAAGTCACCGTTACAACAGAAGTGGAGTAGCCGGGACGGGAAACAACGAGACTGGTCGAAGCGAGCGGCAAACAAGCCCAATGCTGTACAATGTTGACTCGAGAGTGCGGGGAGGAGCGCGGGGAAAGTGAGGGTGACGATGTTTGAAAGCGATGAAAAGGTAGAGGCCTTCCATGATACGGGGAATACAAGTTCCACTCACCCCCGACGAGTTGCCAACTCGTGTTCCAACTGTCCGTGTCCAATCCCAAGGCCCAATTCATCCCCGTCGCCCACATGGCTTCGTTGCAAGCGGTGTTTTGTCCTGTTAGCCCGCTTTCCGCTGTGACGTTGCAGACGTTGAGAACGATTAGAGCGTTAAGCTTTGAACGCAGGGACATCTCGAGCCAGGAACTTGGCTGCACCAATCCCGATACGGTAACTGGGAATGATCTGGCCTTGCGCGCTCCAATCCTCTTGACAAACAACGTCCCGATAATACCGTGGTCATCTATCGCCACCAATCACCTGAGCCGACACCCAACGCCATGATATACAACATCCCTGCCACCGGAATTTTAAAAGGCGGGGTTACAATCTACTAGAGAACGTTGACACTAAGCCTGGCCTCAATAGACCTGATGATATCAATGAGAAGCGTGTTGTCTAGGCGGAGGTTCTGAAGGGTCAAGATTTCAATGCTAGGAGCAAGATATGGTGGATGAAATAATTTTTTCTTCTCCAAATATTTATCTTTGTCATGGAAAGACACGTCTTTTTGAAATTACTTGGATTCCGATCTATCCGGATTTGTTAACAGCATGCGTCGCCCCTTGGTCGTCTCCACGATAACCTCAACATGCCAAAAATGGGCGGTTGGCAACACACAGATATCGGGGCCAGCTAGGACTCTATAGGGCTACGAGTTGCCTTGGTTCAACAACTAGCTTCTATGGTCAATCTGACTAGAAGTTGACAGTTTCCAAAACCCCTCTTTACCACATCCCTTGCCGAATTGGTCAGGCCTTCACACTTCCGAGGACAAACAGGCCGGACAGCCCAGAGAGCAGATCCACCCGCTCTACATCAGATATATCCATACTGCCCGGCTGACCCCGGGGCTTGACTAGAGCACCGACCGTGGAGCGTATCAGCTTCAGACGTGCTTCTACCGGCAGCTCACGGACTGGGTTCTTGCCGGAGGACTCTGCCATCATAGTGTCCTGTCCTATACCCTGCTGCAGCTTCTTCTGCACAGAGTCCAATAGCCCGTTTGGGTGCTCCTCCGCTTTGATCTTGCCAACACTACCATTGCTGTCGTCGTGATTGGCTAGTTCATCGACAATTCCAGTCAGGATCGACGGGTCCGTAGGGTCCTCAGTAGAAACGGCAGTGGCATAATCTGCCTTGGCTAGGGCAAAGTTGGCCGACTTGGCAGGGTTCTAACAGAGAGAAATCTCGTGCCACGCCTGGGCCGTCTCCTTTTTGTGCTGTTCAACTACCTTTTCCGTCTGCTCAACCTCTTTTTGAAGACGGCGGCATTCTTTCATCAGTGCGTCACCCAGGGTTGCTTGGTCTGTGGTCAGGCTGCTGAGGTGTTTGACCCCGTCCTCCTGGGTTTTCACACGACTCTGCGCCTGGCTAAGCTCCGTTATTGTCGTGTTCAAAGCCTGGCGAGCGCCCTCAAGATTGTGTGTACTGATCTCGACTAACAACTTGATGCCTTCTAGGGCGAGTCGCGCGGGGTGCCAAAGCCATGTACGGACGTCGGCAACGATTTTCACCTGCCTTGTGCTTATGCCCTTGGCCCCATTTTGGTTATCCTGGTCGGAATAGTATATTTTTCCCTTGTCTGCGTGGCTCCAATAGCAGTTCTTTGGACGCGGCATATGGGCCGTGGCGTGCAGGTCGCCATCACAGTTTCCCTTGTCATCTTCACCTCCGTCCTTGTCTGTCCTTCACTGGAGAAATACAAGTCCTGAAGAACGAGCCGCTCTTCCCCGATTAATCAAGCGTCAAGTCCATCGCCTTCGGACCGCACAGCCGCGGGTGGTCAGACTCGTGATGTGCATCACGATAATCTGTTCGATTGTCGTGCCATCAGCTATTTTGTGGACTCGACCTCTCTCGCCCAGTGTTAAGATTGCAGCCACTGTCGTCGCTCTTTCACCTGTCGTTCTGGCTTTGATTATATACCGACTGCACAGGTTTCTCCAATCGCCCAGGTCGAGTCCGCCGACTCTGCCTAGTGATTCAGAGACCTCGAGTAGTTTCCCACAGTCTAGCTAATCGTTAAACTACGTCACTTGAATACATGCCGGATATAGTTTGAATTCAGACCACTGAAATACTTTGATCATAGTCACAAGGAATAGCAAATTCCCGCTTACCGTACACCATCAGTCGCTTGTAGACTCCATCGCTCGCGCCCAGATTGCAAACCCCCTCGTTCGCGCCCGGATTGGAGATCCAGCAGTCGCTCCGAGGTTGACAAATACTCCGACATGAGCCACAAAGTACCCGCAACGAGAGAACAAAGGACTGGAGCAATCCATGCTGGAACCATTGCAGTCACACCTACATGTCCTGTAACAGATCCGTACGATAAACCCTCCGCCATAGTGGAGGCCGTTGCAATCCCGATGTGCTGTAATAAACTAGAGACAAAGGCAAACATAGATGCTAGAATAGTAAAATACGTGGTGGCTATTATGATATTTCGATAGGGGAGGGTTTAACTTCGCGATCCGATCCTTCTTCATTCTCTTCGTCGTACCAGCTCGGACGTGTTGAGAATAGAATCATAGAGAGAAAGGCGAAGGCTATGGCAGCAAACCTATGCAGACGGCCATCAAGTATTGTAAAACGCGCAAAATATGACTCCAGTAACGGGAGAAAGGGAAGGAGGGCTCAGGTCTCAGAGGACGATCAGACTTGACTCAAATCAATCCATCAAACGCAGCCTTGTCCTTGAACGTTGCGGCAATCCACAGCAAGTTCAAAGGGTCCATATTCTCAACCTTGCTCACATTGCTATTTCCAGCACCAGCCCTAAGCGAGCTGGCCAAAGTGCTTGCGGTATTTGAACACAGCCACTAATCGTCGATGTAGGAGATGCAGATTCCTAAATAGCCCACTCGGACAATGAGCGAGGGGTTTCTGATGGAACTAAGGTTGACGACGGCGCTACCGATGCCTGGATTCAGTTGGCTATCGTACGATGATGATGAGTTGATGGTAGCATTTGGGATGTAGGACAAGGAAAGGAGATAGACGTTCTGGAGGCTCGACGAGGTGGTACAACCGGCCGGTAGGATTGCTGAAAGGAAAATGAGGCATTAGCAGGGGTGAGTGCGTGCCTATGGAACCCGTAGATCAAAAAAGGAGCGGAAGGAAAGGCAGAGGATAGATTGCAGAGGAGGAGGATGGATATAACTAGCATCGTCTTAAACACATGATGAATTCCCAAGAATGAAAGGCACTCTTGTTTTTTGTCAACGATATTTGGTAGACTTTCACGATGGAGCAGCATACTCACTGGCGATTGCTGATAAGGCCATTGTACGGAGACGAGACGACGAGAAACCGCCCAAATCGTACAAGAGACTGTAGTGTTGAGTTCTGATTCCAATGGGAGACGTCAGGTTTGAATCGGGGTTAGCTGCGGCCCGACCCGTTCCAACTTTAATCCGACGCCATGTCTCGGCTCAGATATGCAAGTCAAGGAGTCAAGAATTGATCAATTGGATTCGCTAGATTCGGGTCACTTGGGCTCTGCTCGTACCACCCATAAAACAACATCAACAACGGCTGCCTATCATGTCCCTGCTTGCGAAATTCCTCTTTGCCAGGCCGCCTCTCCTGCCGTCAGAAACATGGCGTTGCCGTCGACCGCGTATCTTGTCAGGTTAGTCGGAGCTAGGTTGCCTGCGGGATAGGAGAGTTGCATCCAGCACGGCTACGTGGTCGTGGCCTTTTCTCCTTCGCCACTCCGTTGGCCATGCCACCTGGATTTCGTACATTTGGCCATCCTCTGCTGTGAGGCTAAAGTCGGCCGACGATGGCAGAGGAACCGTGGAGATGCCCATTGCGCCCATGATACTTCTTTGGTGACAAGAGCTGATGGCGAGGAGTGGTGACTAGTACAAACATACATGTATACTTGATGGAAATAAAAAGAGACATGAATGCAGGTTTTGGCGGCACAAATCCCTCGACATGGTGCTTCGTGTATAAGACCGTCGGAACCGATTTACGCAGCGTCTAGTTTTTCAGCCCAGAGTCAAGGGCCAAAGGGACCAAGATTAACCCACTAACCCCCCGGTTGATAGCTAACATCGCTGTTGATGAGCTCCACGGCAGTAAGCTGACATTGAATCTGAACACACCTTACTTACCATCGCTATAACACATTCAACATCTAGTTGATCTTATCAGATGATCTGCCATGAATGTGGATACAAAACAGCATACCAGCAACCCTGTCCTTCAAAGGCTTCAGCTGCCCCTCCAAAGTAGTGTATGTTTGTTAGCTTAAAACTTGCCATATCCTCGGGGACTTGTATGTCAGCCGAGTGTTTATTACGGCCACTTTGACGTCAAACCCACGGGATGACCGGCACAAAGGGTAAGCGAGAGCAAGCTAGTTGGTCTCCCATTTAATGCTATACCTTTCAAGCATATCTAGCAAGTCATTTCGTCTGGACACAATTGGCCGTCCCTGTCGCCACGCCGCCCATGTTACTTCTCCAAGAAGTCAACATCCCCTCAGCGGGCTCATGTCCGTATTTGACGGCCCAATTACGCCGCCCTCCCGCTAAGTTCCCGTTGCTCCATCTCGAAATCTCCAATTGAGATCGGAGCCAAGACAGTCTTGAGCGAGTCTGGCTGAATAGCCTACGCCAGGGCCGTCCACCGTCGGATGACTAGGATGTGCAAATGCAGACTTACAACAACCAATGAAAGCACATTCGAGTCACAAAGGTGCATGCGGTGTTGGTTAATATTCATTATACTCTCCTATAAAACGCTTCACCCGCAAGGAAAACACAGCTATCAAATACAAGGAAACTTTTGACCCGAGAAGATTATCCACCTGGCTATTACGATTAGCCCCATAAAATTCTCATTCCCCAAGTCGTTCATTTGCGGCGAGTCGTCGTCTCAATAACTGAAGAGCAGAAAGCTTCTGCTCTGCTTTTATCCAGCCTTCTTCGGCAATCGCAAAACCATTCCTCTAAATAGGAAAACAACTTCGGGCTGACTTGTTTTCCATCTAGTGCTCGCGCCGTCTAACCGAGGACAACTTGAAGAAGCAGCCTACAAGAAGAAAATAGATGATTCCAGCTCAAAGTCCAACAGGGTAACTACCTGTCGAGTCAAAGAAAACACAATGTGTGTGCGAGGTCAGGGATAGCGAGCTACACGCTACGCCGTCCTCGCTCGTATTTCGTTCCAGACATAAGAAATCCCCGAATCCAAAAATTGTCAACTTCATATTCTAAGCAAGTTGACATCGGAAATGCTTCTGTGTCTCTTGTGACCGTTTCCGACCTCGCCTGAAGCCTTGCGCTTCGCCGAAACAGACTCCAACGGGCTGCGCGTCGAATCGCCCGCGTGCTTCTTTTGGCGTCGGATGGGGGTCAAGGGGATGCCTGCCGTATCAAAACGATCCGACTTGAGGCCCCGGATAGCCGAGTAGTTGTAGGGGCCGCTGAAGGCGAGCGAGTCTTGGGTGGCCTTGTTGCTCAAGATCAGCTGCTGATTAATTTGGTTGCGCCGAAAAGCGCCAACAGTATCCGAATTAAGGTGTGACAGCATTTCGCGCTCGCTCGAGGCTGTCGTAGGTCTCATCGGCGTTGAAGAAGGCTCCCATGTACCGTCGTTGCCTTCATCACCAGATGAGTCGCCGTCGTCCCACGTAATGAAATCGCTAATGTCGAGCTTCTTCTCGGCCTCGTCTTCTTCGCCTTGGACACTAGCCGACGAGCTTTCATCAGCCGTGCCGGCCTCTGAATTAAATGGGAAGAAGCCTTCGGCGGGGCCCATGGTTTGAGGGTTGACAAAATCACCAAAGGTATTGGACGAGAGCATGGCGCTGAACATGATGTTGGCAGAATTGCTGAGGATGGGAGAAGACTGCTCTTCTACGGCCCAGGACATGTTGAACTGTTCAGGTGAGAGGTCAAGAGGGCGACGACGATGAGGAGTAAAGATCATCATTTTGCGCGTGAGAGGGTTCAAGACCGCAATTGGTTTCTTATCTGAGCGGTCGAGATTGAAGCGCCCAACACGAGGTTGACCACGCTGAGTCTTGATTGGCGAGGGGACATCCGAGTCAGAAATTTCACTCATGGGTACAGAAGGACGGCGAGTTCTTCTTCGAATCGGTGGATCTGGAATGTCTTCCTCAGTGGTATCACCATCAGCTGACACAGGCGCAAGGTTAGCGAAACGGTAACAAATGAGGCGTCCTGTAGTTTCCAGGACTCACTTTCGTATCCATCAAGCTCCAGAGCCTCCTCCAAAGCAGGAGTGAACTTGGAAGGAGATGTTTCGATCTGGGGCAGTCTGGGCGTGGCAGTTGGCGTCTCATCGTCAGAGAGTTCGCGAATGACCTCCTCGGCATCAGAGTCATCCGCAATTTGCTGATCATACTGGCCATGGTAGTCCCAAAAAGACCCAGATCCCGACGACTCATCTGGGTCATGTTCTATTTCACGACGAAAAGCGGGATCAAGAGCTGTTTGTGATACAAAAATATCGGGAAACAAGTCACCATGGTCATCATCATCATCATCCGTGTCGGTAGAGTCTGAGTCGCTAGAGGGGACATCAAAACGAACATGACGTTCCACAGCAGTATCAGAGCCTAATGAAGGGTCATGCA